TTATAGTGATACCTGCACAGGTTATGCTCACATTCACTTGGAATACTGGTTTCCATCCTTCTGCTGTCAATCATGTCTTGTGACTGCAGAGACAGTATGCTGTTGAATCTTATTTTTTATTCCATTCTTCTAGTATGTATCTTTTAATAATGTAAAAATGTATTCCATTTACATCTCAGGCTCTTATTAATAGTTAAGAGTGCTTTCCACTTTTATTTTACTTTACTTCCAATAATTTCAAACATTTTTTTCTTTTCTTTCTTATTCACATTTGTAGTTTAATGGTTTACTGTAAGGATAATGATTGATTCTGATTTTCTTCCCTTTTATGTATGTCTTTAATTCTAATGGAATTGCTAGTAAGCTTTGAAGCCTGTCCTGGAACTAGCTCTTGTAGACCAGGCTGGCCTCGAATGCACAGAGATCCACCTGCCTCTGCCTCCCAAGTGCTGGGATTAAAGAAGTGCGCCACCATGGCGAGGCCTTAGTAACATTTTTTTTACGTTGTATGTAGAATGCCCTTAAGCATCTTTTCTATTGTTGTATTGTTTATATGTATATGCATATGGTACAGGCATGTGTGTACATGTTAGTGGGAATATAGACATTTGTGCGTGCATATGCAAAGCCTAGAGACTACCGTAGGTTACCATCTTCTATCACTCCCCACCTTATTTCGTTTTTATCTTTAATGTATTATTTATTTGTGTGTGTTGCCTGCATGCGTTTATTTTGTTCATTTTATTGCATTGTAGCTCTCTTTTTATCATTAATTTTTTTTTACTATTTTAAACAGGTTTTTATCTCTTTTTTTGTTTTTTCAAGACAGAGTAAATTTAAATATATTTTGATCATATTCTTCCCCATCCCTAAGTCCTTCCAGATCCTCCCCTGCACCCAACCTTAAGTCCTTTTACATAAAAAACAAAACCCAATACAATAAAAAACCCCAAAATCAAGAAAATGAAACCACACCCAAAAGGAAAAAAAACGAACACCAAAATGTAACCAAATCAGTGTGCATGTGCACATGCGCCCCCACACACACCACCACGCCACATCACACCAAACTGTGGAACTCATTATACATTGCTCAACTACTTCTAAACATGTGCACCTGTCCTGTGGTGGTTGATATACCCAGTGTCACTATTTTTTGTGGCTGGGTCTCTCACTGAAAATGGAACTCACCAGATCCAGATTGCCTGGCTTGGCAAGCCCCCAACACACACATATCCACCTCTCCCCATGCCCCCATCTCTCCCATTATGGGATTACAGGCTGATGTCACCAAACCCAGCTTCTTATATAGGTACTGAGAACCAAACTCAGGTTCTCATGCTTGCCCTGCAAATGATTTACCTACCACGCCATCTCCCTGGTGCTCTCTTAAGCATCTTTTAGAAGGCTGATCTGGACCTCAGAACTTCATTCAGTTTTTATGTCTTCAGAAGTTTATATTTCTTCTTCATCATGAAGAATATTTTTGTTAGGTATAATAATCCTGAGTAGCAGTTATTTTGATTCAGGACAGAGAATATGTCATTCCATTCCCTCCAAGCCTTTATGGTTTCTTCTAAGAAATCTACTGGTAGTCTAATCAGGATATTCTTAAATGTGACTTTGCACTTTCTAGTGCAAAAATTGGACCTTTTTTCTTTGTCTTGTACTTTTGAAAGTTGGACTATGAAATTTTATCATGAGGATCTTATTTGGTCATATTATTTCAGGTTACACACCTTTCTGTATAAGATTTTTTTTTCTTCTATTAAATTTGTTTTCCTTACCATCTTAACTTTTGAGTATCTCAAAAAATTGTAATTTGTTCCATTTATGATGTCCTGAACAGTATTAGAGCTATTTTCTTGCCTGCTTCCTTGTTTGCAAGTCTCATGTGGCATGCATTCACCTTTTGTGAAGCAGATGTTAAACTTGTGATCAACTTGTAATAGAATTATCCCTCAGAACTGGAGAGACTTGGTTACAGTAGTCTTGGAGCCTGGTCCTCAGTTACAGTGGAGAACCTGGTTGAAAGATGAAGCCAAGATCATTGAACAACAAAGTATGAATAGAGTTATGGAAATCTCCTAAAACTAACTTCTTGGAGAGGGAGATTATGCTAATGTGCAAAGGCAAACTCTATGATGACCACACCTTGGTTTTATGCTATATAGTAGCTTTGAAGGTTTGAGGCAGAATTAAAGAAGTAGGAAAGAAAATTGAGTCATTTACTAAAGTTATACAAGACCCAAAGGAAACCTTCATTCATTTCTTACAAAGATTAGCTTCAGCAATAAATAGAATGATACCAAATTCAGAAGCTAGACAAAAACAAAATTGAATCTCTGGCTTCTGAGAATGCTAATGCACAAAGCAAAAGGGTAATTAGATCATTAAAGGCAAGATCAGCACCCTTAGAGGAATGGATCTGAGATACAATCAATATTGAATCTCATGACCAAGATGATGCTTAGATAGGAGAAGTAATTTCCAGAGGTTTGAATAAAAATCAAAATATCAAGTAATTTCAATTGCAGTAAACAAGGTCACCTAAAAAGAGATTGTAAACCAGGCATTCCTAGAAACAATGTTTTTTTTTTCTAAGCATGATCCAAACAGAATGCTCTTCCTTCTGAATTATGCAGAAGATATGGCAAGAGAAGACACTGGACTAATGAATGTGGATCAACAAGGGACAGTCAAGGTAACCCTTTGCTGTCAGGAAATACCTTGAGGGGCTTCTTGCAGACCCACAGGCCAAATCCGGTTCAGTTGTTTCCTGTCATCATGGAAGAAACTTCTTCCCAGAGCAATTAAAGAACACAGTGACTATTGTAAAAAAAAAAAAAAAAACAAAAAAAAAACAAAAAAAAAACATACTGCTCTGGATGATAGAACAGCTATAGAAGAGAGAACAAAAAGTTTAGGAGAAATGGTAAAGCAGATAGTTTGGCAAACTTCTATAAATGAACAAAGGCCAAAATTAAAAATACAAATAACTGACGTCACTGAAAATCTTGTACACACAGGTGCAGGTGTATCAATAACTGTAGCAGAAAGTTTGGCATTCAAATTGGCCTCTTCAGTAGGTAAATGTCCAGCTTTTAAGGACTGGATTATTATCTTAGGTAAAACAGAGTGAGATCTTGCATTGAATGTATAGGGCCAGAAGGACAGAGAAGAAAATTATGCCATACGTAGCTAATATAGCAATGAATTTGTGGAGATATGATTTGTTACAGCAATAGTCAACTTAGATTAATATTTCCCCACCAATTCGATTTAGTACACAGAGAAGGTTTTTTGGTGGTCAGACTATCAGGGAACCCAGTTTACAATCCAAGAACACAAACCAGAAAGCTGCATGGGTGGGCGGACCACGGGAAATTGTCAAGTCACCACATGACGGGCCATGGGGAGTAACCAAGTCAGTGTACCAGCCAAAATATTGGCAGCTGCATGCCAAAGACATATCTCAGCTGCAGAGGGCTTTCAAGCCATGTGAGCAAGGTACCTGCTCCATCCTGTTACACTGCCCAATTGGGCATCAGATGAAGGGCATTTCAATAAAGTAGTCCCACACTAGCTCAGAATGGAGTATAATAAAGGGTTCTTTATTTGGGATAGACTCACAGATCAACCATCCTCTACATGAGCAGGGAACAGGAACCGGATCCAGCAGACAAAAGAGTGCATCTTCTACATCTGCTTTTATAGTACCCAAGACCATGTCCAACGTAGTCCAGCATCTCAAAGGCCATTGGCCAAAGGAGTTCCCACAGCACCAAACTGCTTGTATGGCTGGGGCAGACTGCAAGGATACTAGCAGCAGCACCAGGACTTATCCCCACTGTTAGTACTGGCTTTTTGGGAATCTATTCTCTTTAGATGGATACGTTGCTCAGCCTAGATATAGATGGGAAGGCCTTGGACCTTCCCCAAAGCAATGTGCCTTACCCTCTCTGAGGAGTGGTTGGGATGTGGGAGGGTTAGGAGCTGGGAATGGGAGGAGAAGAGGGAATGGGAACTGGGATTGGTATGTAAAATGAAAAAGATAGTTTGTTTTCTTTTAAAAAAAATAAATAAATAATCCCACACTGCTATGAAACATGAGACTAATAACATGCTTCAGAAAGGTAGATAAGATAACCAAAATACAACTTACTTGAGACAAGTATCAAGCACCTAATAACCAACACGTTCATTAGTGAACTGGAACATCTAACTTGGTAAGCTTCTTCTACTAGGACACCATTGAGCTTCCCCAAGCTCATCATGAGCAGGAATTTGGTATAATAAAGACCAACATTACAAACTACCATTGCTTTATTAAAATTAAATTGGCAGAGAGTAGATCACTCTGCACTTTAGGGTCAAGTCTGAGGGACCCATTTCCTTACCTGTAGGCGTACTCCAAAAATTCCTTTGCTGTTTGGCCCAAGGTCACACCCCTCTTCAAGGCTAATCAATTATTAGTTGTCTCAGAATACTTCTTAAGGATAGCCCAGCTTCAAAGAAGCCTACCAAGAAAATCTGAGGCTGTGTAGCATCCTTTACCCCAAGCCCACTTCTGATAGATACAGAACTTAAGAGTACCCCCATGACATCTCCATCACAAAGGCTGATTCTCAAAGAGTCAGCAAAGAATGGGAATTCCGAGTGTAACAAAACTGATACCCTCCATCCCAGCCTTACTATTCACAAGTCCCTGGTTCCTCTGCAGACAAACCAGCAAAAGCAGATGCACTGAATCTGAGGGAAATGGGGGAAAGAGCTACGTGAGCACACTTGCTAGAGACTATCTTTATGATTTCTGGCTACTGATGAAGCAAAATGTCTCATCTGTGGTGATATCAAGTTTCAAGCAGAGGGGATCAAAGAATTATTTGATAGCACAAAGACTTTGTTCTTAAGCACAGAACTATTCTAACAGCGGAAAATGAGTCCATTCTGGGAAATCCATGAAATACGGGATATGAATGAAGAGAAAAGAAGTGAGATGAGCATTAGGTGGCTTTTATTCATTCAATTTTCCTTTCAACATATTATTGCTATTACAAATTCTAAAGAAACCAGACTTGAAAATTTTTTATTAAGATACAGATCTAAGGACAGAATAATTACTTGCTAGCTAGATTACAGTTTCTTGTAAAAATAATATATGAAAAATTAGTAGAAAATGAAAATCTGAAAGTCATCTGAAATCTGAAAATGTTAAGCGATTTCTGCTGCGTGTTACTGTTGATCGTGTCACAGAATATTGGAGCATAACTGGGCGGAGTATGTAATTATTCCATTTTTGTTGACAGCACAGTGGGCCCTTCAGAGCTTGGCATAGTCTTTAAGAATCATCTGGAGCTTCTGACTCAGCAAGATGTTCCCTTTGGCCTTCAGTTTGCCACTGAAGAAGGCCTGCAAAGGGACAGGGAAAGATACCAACCATTACCCTTGCACTTACTCCTTTTCCAAGAATACAGTCCTCATGTCATGTCCTTTCCACTGACTGCTGGTGTGGTACCCCTGTCTCCCATCTCCTTCACTGCTGCTTACTCTGAAGTCTTTACTTCTCCCATTCTGAGCAGAGCTTTACTTGATGTAGTAACCTTGGTGGGCAGTTATCTCTTTCAGGCCTTGAAATGCACATCCTTCCACACTCCTGCCATGCAGTGTTTCTGCTCAGAAGTCTGCTAAGTCTAAAGGGGCCATTAAGGACTTACATGTGATTGGGCATGTTCTCGGGTTTAAAGAATCCTCCTTTATCCTGTAGTTTGACAGTCTGACTAGGTCACAGTGACTGTTTTTGCTGATCACATTCATTGGGAAACTCTGAATCATGTACCATTACATTCATGTCTTTCTCAACATTGGGGAAGTTTTCAACCACATTTGCACTAAATAGTTTCTATGTAAATTATTGCATAGGCTACTTCAATTTTGTGTTTAAAACAGATAACATTTTCAGAATAATATTAACAATAGTCACAGAGGCCTCCTGTCTTACTGACGATTTCCATGCTCCAGAATGCTTTAACTTCAGTGACTATTACAAATATTCTATTTCTAGGTTTTCCATGAGTTATTAATACTTTATATTGGCTGAATGTCACTAAAGCAGAACTCTAATTTCCTGAGAAAAGCAAATCAAGGTGTTTTGGGGGGGTCATCTGTTTGTTTAATTTTGGAGGATTTCCGATTCCAAATTTTTAGATTAGTAAAATATGTACAATCCCAAAATCCACTAGCTAAAAGTTGAAACACCTCAGATATTATTCAACTTATATCACACACAAGTTTTACACCTCAAACTATAGATTTAAAATGCCTAGTTTGGGTTTTACATTGTTTGTACTAAATGATAAATTGGACTTGCAGCCCCCCAAAAAAATATTTCAAAGCTACTAATTGAAATAGTAATTTTTAAAATCTGACTTGTTGATGAGAATAGAAGTATAAACTTAAGTAATGAAAACCTTCAGAACATTACCTTCTGAGGGTCAAGCTTGCCCAGGACCACTTCCATGAAATCCTCATCAGAAATTATGATGGTGGTGTCAGCGGAGCCCTTTGCAGGGCCTTGGTACACTTCTCCAGAGCCATTCTTCAGGTCAATGGCTGGGAAAACAAAAAAACAATGTATTACATTTTCTCCAAAATACGGCACAAAAAGTGAACTAAAACGGAAGCTGTCGCAGCTCCCGAGTTATTCATGTGTTTTGTACTTGTTCTACTTCTAGAACATGTTCTTTCTGTCATGTAGAAAATTTTTGTTGTGGTTCCTGAGATGGGGTCTCACCTGGTAGCCAAGACTGGTCTAGAACTCACAGCAATCCTCCTGCAGTGTGCACCAAAAGGTAGAGCTTGGAAATCTACTTTTTCTAAAGTACTTTGTAATAGTCGGCTCAGTAAATAGCTTTTTCTTAATGAGGCATTTTATATCTAGAAATACTCATATAAATAGGAATTGAATGTAGAACAAGTTTCTAACAAGTGAATTTGCTGGGATATACCTAAGGCCTTTAACGGGGTTGGGCCCTCAGCAAAGAAGGTACCCAGTAACATTGACATTGGAGAAAACTGACCTTCCTTTCCCAGCAGGAATCAACTACAATGGCAAATAGTTTCTTAAGCTGGGCATGGTGGCAAACGCCTTTAATCTCAGCATTCAGAAGTCAGAGGCAGGCAGATCTCTGTGAGCTCAAGGCCAGCCTGATCTATAAGAGCTAGTTCCAGGACAGGCTCCAAAGATACTCAGAGAAACCCTGTCTCAAAAAAACAAAAACAAAACCAACAACAACAAAAAAAAAAAAAAGGCAACAGAAGGGGACAGAAAGGAGAGGGTATGAAAAAGTAAAGGAAAGCAAACCTCTGTCAACCAATAGACTTACCATCTACTGTTTTAATGCTGCACACCTCTATCCAAGCCCCACTGGGGGGCGGGTAGTGTACATAAAAACTGTGCTCAGTGTTAACACTTTACTTTGCACATATTCATATCAGAGTAAAAGAGTAACTATACCAAGCAACAACAATCCATGGATGTTCTCTTCCTCTTTCCCTCAAACTAACCCACTCACCATTTGCAGACATGAGACTTGGAACTGTGAGAAGCTCGTGGCTACACTATACAAGAAAAGATAGTGCTTAGCAAGAACACAGACATGTGGGGTGAAGGAGCTAAACAGTCGAATGCACAAAGGCTTTGGTGTATGTGGGAGAAGCATCACCGGGTCATTTAGAATCCAGATGTCTGTAGGTTACTACTGGTCTTCTGTAGGATAAAGAAACTGCACTTCCACCCAATGGCAGAGTTCACTGTGCTCACTGTGAAAGTTCAGATTTATGATCATGAAGTTGTTCAGAACAACTTCAGCTAGAATTACTGTCTCTACAGGGCAGGGGGGAGGTAAAACCACAAAAAGGGTGACAGAAGACGACGATGCCTTGGACACAAAAGGCCTTGGTGGTTAAAAACCCATCTTGTCACCTAATCCCATCCACTCTGTGAAGATAGTATTCAGGAAGTGGTGAGCGAGCGAAAGGGCAGAGAAAGGTTCTCTACGCCCACCAAAGAGGAGCGGCAAGGCTGTCCTCAAACTCATGACTTACTCTCCTACCTCTGCCTCCAAAATGCAGGATTACAGAAAGCAGCCATCACTCCCTACTAAAAAATAAGATTTTTAGGAGAAGAAAAAGAGAGACAGCAAAGACATAAAACTTTGCTACTCTTCTGTCCAAAATTCACAAACCTGATCATGAATAATATCAAATAAATCAAACTAAAGAATATTCTTCAAAATAACTTTTCCAAAACATCAAGGTGATAAATAAGACAGACAATGTATCTGGGTTCCAGCAGCCAGGAACTTGACAACAGCTCGGAGTGTGAGCAGGCCAGAGGGGGGCATTCACCCCCTCTCTCTCCATTTCTACTCTTGCTACTACTACTGTTATTATTCCTTTGCTTTAAACAACCTATTGGGACAAACGGTGAAACACTAATAAGGTGGCAGAGCAGATAAGAACAGTGTATAAATGTTAACTTCCTGACACTGACAACCTCTCTGTGGTCAGAGAATGCCTTTGTTCTTGAAATAATAGAGTAGCATACACTTTTACAAAATGGGATAAAATTTGAACAATTTGAAGTAGCAGATGAAAGATAACTGTTACTTCTCATTAGAATCTTTGCAGTTTTATCTCTATGTCAGAATTTATTGTTAACAAAGAAACTTGGCAAACGATGTTAGGGCACGCTGCATGCCAAGAGGACTGTCGGCCTCTGAAGCGGGAGGATCTGTGGGCATGGAGTCGGGAGCTGCACTAGAAAGCAGCAGCTGCTCACTGTTGAGAAAATCCTTGCTGATGATTTGATAGCAGATCCTTTCCAAAGACAATCTGTTTTCTGGAAATTCACAAGACACTTCTGAATCTCAACCCAAAATCTGAAACTGGCATCTTTAAATTTTAGTGTTAGGCCTAGTGAGCTGGCACATGCCTCTACTCTAGCCACTTAGGAAGTTAAGGCAGGAGAGTTTCTGGTTTGAGGCCAGCCTGGGCTATAAAGCAAGATCTTGCCTCAAAAGATAAAAAATTTATGTTTTAGCTGAAAAATCTTAAAGGATAATCCAATTTGACTTCAAAAGAGGAATCCCAAGCCACAGCTCATAGATTCTGATCAAGAAGGTTTGGATTCTCATCTGCAAGGGATGCCGGTCCTCCTGTCTCCACACTTCTTCACATAGGAACAAGTTCCCAAAATGGATAAACACATTCAGAGAGCACCGCCATGTGGCCACTGTCACACTGCACCGGACACACCTGACTCCAGTCCAGATATGCAGTCAGCTCTGGACACTTAGTTAAAACTCAACTAATTCACTTCACCAAACAATATTCAAACAAAAATTCATTGTACCTCTATGATCTTGGTATCTAGATGAAATTTTTACACATTGGTTCATATAATATAAAAGAATACAGGTATGGTATTGGAGAGAAATAAACCAGCTCAAGACATTTGCCTAAACCTAGCACTATAAGGAACGTAGAACACATTCTGTTTAGCAAGCAACATTGTGTATTTAGGATATAATAAGTACTTGTATACAGTTTCATAGTTTGAATGTACCCTATAACTCTAAAGACTCAAGCAACAAATGAATGACTTGGAAACATGTACCATGCACTTAGCATTACAATAAACTATAAAATGGAAATTTGTAAGTGGAATTCTCTGTGAACAGGAGTGACAGACATCCTCCACTCTCACATGGCATCATCAAGGTGGCAAAGCTGATGCACTCTGACTGTGCTTCCCACCCACTGCTTGCAGCTGTCACCTACCCACGAGCAGCAGGAACACAGCCACAATCTAGCCCAAACCTTGACTGACCACAGTTCTGCCATCACAGTTCATTTCCTCGCTACAAACTGCTTTTCCTTCCCCATTTTGCCATTCCAGAGTCGCCATTCTCAAGAGCACAAGTTTAAAACCTCAGTTTTACCCCAGATGTCTTCATTTCTTTTGATATTCAGACATAAAAAGTGCTCAGGGGAGTTCAGTAGTTTCACATCTTTCCCCTCCTCTCCATTACTATCCTGACTCTAACTTAGGTCAGCCTTTCTTCTAGTCTTTTCATGCCCGTTCGTTTCCAACCCAGTAGGGGCCATGGCACATGAATCCTAAACTCTTCACTGAATGACCAATTTCTCCATCCTGATGCTAAGTTCATCTTTCCAGGCTCTGTCACCCGTGTTCCTCATGCACACATGCAGGTCTGTAATCAGCCTGAATATGTTCTGAATCCAGAATTGTTCTGATTTTAGTGACTCTGAACTAGAAAAGCCCCACCCCCAGAGGTGCAACACTGTATAAACAAGGACGTTACTTCTCCACTCTGACACTGGAGAAGCAAATAAAGACAGTAATACCACCTACCCTGGGTCAGACTTTGTTAGCAGTGAGTTGTAAGAGGGAAAAGTTTTCCACCTCCAAAACTTTCTCAGCTTCCAAATTTCAAATCAGAGTAACTGCTTAACTTTTCAGGCACAAACGATTCTGCAGGCTACCTGAAGCCTCCTGCTCGCTCTTTCTTTGTTGTGTGGTGCTGGAAATGGAACCCAAGGCCTCCTGCACAGCAGGCATCCCCAGACCTAAGCCGTTTATTCTGCCAACTTTCATTCCTCTGACATTACTGTTAACAGAACACGAGATTAGGACCAAACAGCTTACTAGACAATTTTTTAATGGTTTTAGGAATTAATAAAAAAAAAATATGACCACTGCTAAAACGTTTCAGTGGTACATTTCACCACCAAAGAAAAAGAAAGAGCATCATCTATACAGGAAACCTACTGAGCAGAAAGCAAGCATCCATTTTTTGCTCCTCTAAAAGGACAGTGATCTCATCTCTCTGAACTGTGAGTCCCACGTGGCTCTCAGCACTTACCAACCTGCACCTGTGCATACTGACATGCGCTATAGCCCTGACAGGAGCTGCCAACAGAGGAACTGCGGTCCTTTCTCAGAGTTAAGCCCAAGGTCAAATGAAAAGAGGCGTGTAACGAGGAATAGCCAAAGTACAACAGGTACAATCAGGACAAATAAGAGTCTGTTCCACGGGAACTCACAGACTTCTTTATTGACACTTTCAACACAATCAAAGATCCCCAGAAAAATAAAGGGACAAGGACGGCCTTTATTCAAAGGGGAGACAACAAATGGCATAGATCCTTGGTAAGGACTGCCTGTGTCCTGACGTTCAGTGCCAATTTTTTATTTTATGTAATAAAATGACACTAACAACAGTCACTGTTCTTGAACAAAGACAAGTGTGAATTTAGTCCCTAGCTTAAGGATGTACTATCTATGAATACTGCTATTACTAAACACTGCACCCCGAGATATGAAGATGAGGGTAGATTGCTTTCCTTCTAAAAGCCCCGCACTGAGGCCCTTCTCTGACTTGCTGTATTAACCAGGGGCTTTACCTTTCCCCTTTCAGCGGCAGGAGGAAGGGCATTAGATTTTCTCAGCCCTGCCAGCAGAGGTAACTCTGCCCTCACTCAGTCAGCCCTCCTGTTCCTATCTAACAACAGGAGATGGGCCTTAGAAATAGCAAACTTCAAGGCACACCCTGTCTTCATAATCAACACTAACAGTGTCTCAGCTGATATCAGCATTCTCTCTAGAACTAGATTTAATTTGATTTGAAAAAATTTCCCCACTATACACACATATTCTGCCCAGAAATGTGGTACTGCCAGAAAGCGAGAGGAAAACATGGGCATGCTCTGGGATCGTGGGGAGGAATGCGACCCATCAGTGCCTACATTTGCTCAAGGACAAGGATAGCACACGGTAGCACACCTAGCCTATATACTCATTTCTAGTCCCTGTATCCTGTTTCTGGTATACCATCATATGAGCACAGCCGGACTACTTACCAACAATATAAAACACACAGTTCTCAGTACTTCAGCATTTGGCAAAACATCTTAAAAACTTATTGTTGGGGGGAAAGAGTAGAGGCAAGATATTCCCTAAGGTAGCCTTTAAATATCTACTCTCTAGTGCAACACAGGGCTGGCACAAGGGATGCCTTCTACCATACCAAGAGACCAAAAGAGATTTTCACTGCAGCCAAATACTGTGATTTGCCTCAGTTACACAAAGACTGGAAGGAAAACAAGAACCCCAAACAGTTCACGGTCAGTAGTGGATGGTGGATTCTTATGGAGTCCTAGCCCTCCCTGGGGAACTACTGGCTACTGACAGATGCTGGAAGATGGGGGACTCATAGTCACGTCTTCAGTTACTGGCCACTAAGGAGTGCACCCCTCGAACGGATAGTTCCACACCCATGCTCACATGGATAGTGCTGGTTAAAGTCAGTGGGTCACAAAACAAAAAGATACGAATGTAGATGAGGAATTGACAGAAAGAGGAGAGATTAACAGGCTGGGGTGGGTCAGAGTAATTAGAACACATATATATGTGCATGAAATTGCCAAATAACATTTGTGATTTAAGAGAAAAAATACATGCCTTTGAATGTCCTGAGACCTATTAGCTCTCATGGAAAACAACAACGAAAAAAAACCTATGTAGGTTAGATTTAAATGCTTTCAAAGGGACTATTATCAACTATAAAATACACTTTACCTCCATTAAAAGTTACCTTAGAATAATATAAAATCAGAAATCTTACTTACTCCACTTGGCTGCAATATTTCCACCTTTCGTGATATGCCACTCAAATACAGCATTTACTTTCTTTACCACCTCACGTCCAACGTCCTTAAGGCGGCGACCTATTTCCCCAAACACGAGAGCACTCTGAAGCTCCTCACCCTGACAAAGAGGAAATAATATTTGAAAACTCCACAAAGAAATGATTACACATACATAAATTAAGAGTGATTTTTTTTTTCCAGGTCATAGATAACACAGCTAAATTATTTTCTTCACACTAGGCTTATTTCGCACTTTCTTTGTATTATACAACCCAGCATTGTTTGCCCTACCAGAAAAATTCTTTTTCTTTTTCTTGACAGGGTTTCTCTGTGTAACAGCCCTAGCTGTCCTGGAACTAGCTCTGTAGACCAGGCTGGCCTTCAATTCACAGAGATCCACTTGCCTCTGCTTCCCAAGTATTGGGATTAAAGGCACAAGCCACCACCATGTACCATGAAAATTCTATTTTACCATAATTTTAAGATAATACTTTAGTGTCTTAGGTAAAGTGCCTCCTGTAAAAACCATGAGGTTATGATTTGAATCCCAAGCAGCCATGTCAAAAGCTGGGTGTGGTGGTGCACGGCCTAACCCCAGCACTGGTCCAGAGGCTAGCTGGGAAGCCAGGCTAGCTAAAATGGTGAGCTCCAGGTTCAGTGAGGGACCTTGTCTAAAAATCAAGGGGGAGAAGTAACTGAGGAGGACATCTGATAACAAACTCTGCTGTGTTCCTGCAAGGTGAGTCCACCCAACCACGCCCCACACAAATTAAGGAAGAAAAAAAAAAAGAGGAAGCGGTGTACCTAGGTCTAATTAACTTCTCAAATAATCAAGTCCTATGGTATTCAGTTTTTGTTTCTAAAATAGTAGTAAATTCTGTGAAGTGTTTAGTTATTTCTGGCCGTAAGATGTCATAGGCTTTAAGCTTAGATTATTTTCATAAAATGTTAATTTTTGTCATATAATAACATGGTTTATGAAGGAAAAAGATAATGCTTGTGAAAGTTTCAACATTATTAAGTTAATACTTTGGACACAAAATACAAATATTTTATCAAAAGTCTTAGTATACTAAAATAATATTTTAATAAATAAGACATGATATTGTCTTCAATCTTCATACAAACCTTTAAATCAAGAAAAAAGAATAGGCTACTTAATTTTTCACCTTTTATTCTCCAAATACTTTTCAAAATTTCTCATTAAAACTGAGCTAGACATTCTTAAAGCAGACTATTTTCTCCTAAAGTATCCCAATATTCTGCAAAGATTTTTCAAAGCCTAAGTTATCAAAATATTTTTCATTCCGATCAGTTTTAAATTATGTCATTTCTTCAATAGGCTTCTCATAGCTAAAGGAAGTGGCCTGAAAGTCCCAAAATGGCATTAACTAAGGCTCACGCAGGGAAGTCTGGGCGCCAGACTTCACAGCCTACCTTAGAAGGTGCCTGAGCTGAGACTCCAGAGGAGGGCACAAGATCCACATACGCATTTGAAATGACAATGTCTCCGGTCTCTTGAACCTGAAGAGAAGCGAGGTAGGAAAGAAACAGTTCACGCTGACAGTTTGCGTGTCCATCATGAAATGCTACAGTCATTTTAAGGAAACCTCAGACTTTTCTTTGAAAAAAAAAAAATAGAAAGCCAAATAAGACAAAAGGTCAATGATGTAAATAATAGAATAATAAACATAAGGATTTTCTGAATTAATACAACTGTTACTAAGCCTGGAAAGAGAGTCAACTGATGACTTTTAAAAGAAAAGAGAAAATAAAAAACACTATGATCAAGTCTCATCTTCCCAAATACAAATCAAAGGAGCTGGAGCGATGGCTCAGTGGCTAAGAGCACTGTCTCCTTCCTTACTCTTCCTCAGGGCCCCAGTGCAGTTCCCAGAACAGTTTGCTTTCCAGCATCTATATCAGGCAGCTCACAAACATCTACAGCTCAAGCTCCCAGAGAGCTGCCCCCTCCGACTTCTGGGAGCACCTGCACTCTCGTGCACGTACACATAATTTAAAAACAATAAAACCAAATATTTTTCAAACCGGAATGCTAATTTAATGACCTAGGATAAAGCCTGAGTGCTGGTATTTTGGAGATTTTCTTTTCCTAAGCCTAAGAGTATTTTTAGGGGAGCAAGGGTGAGCAATCAACTGTTGGAAATAGTAGAAGGTATGCCCTAATACCCCATGTGGAGCAAATGTGTTCTGTTAATATAGGTTAAAACTGGCTAGGAGAAGACAATTGTTTGCAAAGTCATAACTCTGGGTCCTATTTCAAGTCAGATGTATGCACAGCATAAAGTAAATATCCCAAAAACCTTTTACACTTGACATTAAAGAAACTCTCCTTCCTCATCCTATATTTCAAATCATTCGGGTGACTATTCTTCCATAAGAACAATACAAGCCAGGGGTGTAATGTTAGCACCCAAAAGGCTGAAGCAAGAGAACTTCAAGTTCAAGGACAGCCAAGACTAAGGAAGTATGCTTCTGTACAGGCTGTGTTATAGCCAAACACTGTCTCAAAAGGAAAAAGAAGGATTTACAGTGAAGAGAACAAGTTTCCCAAAGTTAAGGTCGCAAGTGATACAACTTTGATCTTAACTCCCCTGACTACCTCCCTTCACTCTTGAAAGGAGGGAAAATACCTTTCCCACAATTTGTTCTTTTTAAACTAAATATCCAGTGAAGAACACAGACACGATTAATGAAAAACCAAAATACACTTTAGCAGATTGCTTTCTTGTAAGCACATGAGCATAGAGTTCTGAAACACTTGTTTTAAATGTTTCTTAAAATACACTGGAAAGGAGGGAGTCACGGTAGGAGTCTTCTATGTCCCTGTAATTACTGGGGAAGGAGAAAATACTCTGAAAAGAGAAAGCATGTTTAGAGCCATTTAAAATGGAAGAACACATTACATTTAGGTTATTTCTCAGCTCTTTCAGTTCACAGAAAGTGCCCATGTATTGTTCATGCTAGGACTGTGTGAAAATAAAAGCCTATAATGTTTCATACGGTGCCATGGTCCTCACATCTTTGAGTTCATACTATTTTGTGTTTGTGTCTTTCTTGCTTTCTTCATGGTTCTAGGGATTGAACCCAGGGCCTAGTGCACAGCAGATAAATGCTCTGTCACTGAGCTACATTCCCAGCTCATTTGTGCACGTTAATTTTCAAGTAAGATTCTGAATTCTAGGGCTGGGGTTATACAGTATTTGCCGAACACAGGCAACACCCTGGGTTCAATCCCCAGACTCCACCACCATTTTATGCAAGACAATAAGAAAACGAGAGAGCTGAAGAACAGGAGGAAAAGGTTTTAAGTGAAATAAGGGTGTGTGCTGTGTCAGTGGGAGTGAACGATACAGTTTAAGGTACTACTTGAGCTGGGCTTGGCAATGCATGAAAGTTCTAATGGGGCAGCCTGGGCTACAGAATAAGACTGTTTAAATTTTTTTTAAAAAAATCAGAGAGACTGTTTCTAAGGGTAAGGCAAAATTTACACTGGGGTCTTTAATACAGAAGAAATTTGCAAAATCAAACAAATGATTTCCCTAAACCATGAACGTGTCATCGGCATCAGGAAGGCATTAACACTACAGCAGAATTCTGCTAACTTACCAGTTCCTGAGGGAACAAACTACAGCAAACATAAACCTGGACACTGAAGCTTTGGAGCCATGTGAAGCTGGATTTGTATCCTGCTCAAACACTGCTTATGGGGCCATCAGCAAGTCATTACCAACATCAAGGTTTTCTTAGGAACCTAGACTTTCTTACATTTCAAGGCAGAGTTGTTACTGAAAGTTGCTATTGAAGACAACAGTGCTTATAGCATCTCCATAAATAAAAGAGTTACTACCACTGCTGGAGGCTTCAGTCTGTTCTAGCGATGCTGAGTGATAGACAGAAAACTATCAGCTGCGTAGCTGTGGCAACAAAGGCTGCTTTGGAAACTGTGAATAGTGAAACAGTTGAATGTCCTTTTAGTGCTTTTCTGGAGCATCACTGCGTTTCCCTCAAAATTAGTTAAATCTGCAGAGGGACACCTTGATTGGCTTGGCAATTATTAATTAGGCCCAGGCTCTATGATGCAAAATGTTAATTTATAAACTTTTTGTGTGCTCAAGAGTACATGGTTTCTGTCCAGGGAAAAATTAAAGGCTCCAACCTCACAGTTCTCTAGAACACAAGTAAATATGCCACTAACACAGCAAAAACTTGTCTCGAATGCCTTTGCTGTTAGACCAGGTAAACTGCAGTTCTGGTTCTCTTGAGCCAGGCTGCAAGATCTTTCATTAGTGAGTGAGGGAAAAATTTAAAAGGTACATGAGGAATCTTAGTTTCAACTAAAAGACAGCATTAACTTTAAGAGTACTTCAAGTTTCTTCTCAAAGATTCCTATTACTAACCACAAAAATGCTAACAGAGAACAAAATGACAATGTGTCGTGAAGGGTCACACAGCACATACTTCCAACTCTATGATGTATACCTTGGTTTGAAAATGAATTCTGTTTCCTTCCTTCCACATCTCAGTTTGAAGAGTTTGTCCTGGATACACTGGCTTGGCAAAACGAACCTATTAAAATAAAAGTTTAAGCATTAAAAATGTTTTTAAATGAAACTCTTCTACTTGGAAGGGAAATTTCAGAGGTCTACATAAGAAGGAAAAAGTAGAGATTTAAATACATTAAGCTTCATAGACGATATCTGAAATGTAGGAAATTAACAACGAAAGGATGCTGACAATCATGCACATTCCATAATAAGCTAATTTTTTTTCTCTCAAAACAAGAAGCAGGGCTGGAACATAGCTCGCTGGTAGAGTGTGTGCTTGCCTGGGTCATCTGACGTCCTAAATTCAGTTCCCAACACTGGGAAAAGGAAAAGAAAAGGCAGCACCAGTAAGCAGCATGTTCTTATGACAAATCAAAAACCAAAACCATAATCCTATTAGGTAGTGATACTGGCAGCCACCAGAACAATCTGGAGTTCAATGTAGTACTAATTATTCTGGGAGCTAAAGGCTCAGGTGAGCATACAGAAGAAAATATTTGCACATTTTAGAACAGGATCATTTATGTTACTGTGTAAATCTATACACACATTACAGAACTAAAAAAAACTAATTGTGATTAAATAAAACACATGAAAATCATGAGTGTTATTAAGGTCCAGGCATCAGAACGTTTGTCTCCACTCTGTCATGGAGATTAAACTAATAAATAATTTTAAAGCCGTTTGACACTGCCCTAGCGTCTTTCAGGTACACATTGTTGACTTAGACAAAACTATTGTAGGCAGAAACAGTTTCCTTTGTTAATAACAAAGTGAGTAAACAGTAAAACCTTGAATTCAGCTTATAAGCACAAACCTAAACACTAGGTCCCGTCAGAGCTGCAGTGTTGTGAGAGATCAAACTCAGCCCCGACATCTTCTGTACAGCAAAGGCAGAGTTTCAAAAGTTTATATGCTGAGGCTGGACAGGGTGGTACACATCTTTAATCCCAGCACCCCAGAGGCAGAAGCAGGTGAAGCTTTGTGAGATAAAGGCCAGCTTGGTCTACAGAGCGAGTTCCAGGACAGCCAGGGCTACACAGAAAAATCCTGTCTCAACTCACTCCTCCCCGCCAAAAAAAAAACTATGCAAGAGACATATACCTTAATCGCCTTGAATCTTGACACATCATTATCTGCAAACTGCTGTAGAACATGCCTTGCAGAAAATCCAAAAGTACATAATCCATGTAATATGGGCTTCTCAAAACCTGAGAAAATTTGAAAAACTGTTATATGCCATATCTAAGTACATATTTAATTCAGCATTTTAATGTCTTTTAAACTGCAATTTTACAATGAATTATATCATATACTAAGAAAAAGAACATGCCAGGAAAGAGGGCATCACCTTTATCACAGCACTGCAGAGACAGGGGTAGGCAAAACTCTCTAAATTCAAGGCCAGCCTGGCTTACATAGCAAGTCCCAAACTAGCCAGCGCTACAGATTGAGACTGTATACTTTAAAAAAAAAAAAAAAAGTTTTACAAACAGTACTTCATACTTCATAGGGAAAAATTAAGATATAAATAACAAAAACTATTTTTTGAAAAATTTGGAAACACAAAAAACGTTTTCATTTCATTTATTTGCAACAAACCACAGTGGGGGATTTCATAAACCTCTCTTTTTTATTGTTTTTATTGAGCTATATATTTTTCTCCATTCCCCTTCCTTTCTCTCCCCTCCCCTTCTACCCTCTCCCATGATCCCCATGCTACCAAATTTACTCAGGAAACCTTGTCTTTTTCAACTTCCCATGTAGATTAAGTCCATATATGCCTCTCTTAGGATCCTATCTGGTAGCCCAGTCCAGTGGTGAGAGTGGGGTGTTGAAGTCTATTATTATTATTATTATTATTATTATTATTATTATTATTATTGTTTAATGTGTGATTTAAGCTTTAGTAGTGTTTCTTTTACATATGAGAGTGTCCTTGTATTTGGGGCATAGATGTTCAGAATTGAGATTTCCTCTTGATGGAGTTTTCCTGTAACTAATATGAAATGTCCTTCTTTGTCTCTTTTGATTGATTTTAGTTTGAAGTCTATTTTGTTAGATATTAGGATAGGTACACCAGAGGTCCATTTGACTGGAAAATTTTTTCCCAACCCTTTACTCTGAGGCGATGTCTGTTTTTAAGGTTGAGGTATGTTTCTTGTATGCAGCAGAAAGATGGATTGTTTTTGTATCCAATCTGTTAGCCTGTGTCTTTTTATAGGTGAGTTGTGTCTATTTATATTAAGAGATATTAATGACTAATGATTGCTAGCTCCTGTTATTTTAGTTTTCATTGTTAGTGATGTTATTTTGTGTGTTTTTCCTTTCTTTGGGATTTGCTGCTGTGAGATCATCTATTGTCTGTGTTTTTGTGTTTGTAGCCAACTTCTTGGGTTGGGGTTTTCCTTCTAGTACTTTGTGTAGGACTAGGTTTGTGGCTAGGTATTAGTTAAATCTGGTTCTGTCATGGACTATCTTGTTTTGTCTGTCTATGGTGATTGAAAGTTTTGCTGGGTATAGTAGTCTGGGCTGCCATTTGTGGTCTCTTAATGTCTATATAACACTTGGCCAAGTCCTTCTGGTTTTCATTGCTTCCTTGAGAAGTCAGGTGTAATTATGATAGGTCTGCCTTTATATGTTACTTGGCCTTTTTCTATCATAGCCCTTAATATTCTTTCCTTATTCTTATGTTTAGTGTTTTGATTATTATGTGGCGAGGGGACTTTTTGGGGATCCATTCCATTTGGTATTCTGTAAGCTTTGTGTATCTTCATATGCATGTCATCTTTAGGTTGGGAAAGTTTTCTTCTATGATTTTGTTGAATATATTTTCTGTGCTTTTTAGTTGGACTTCTTATCCTTCTATCCCCATTATTCTTAGGTTTGGTCTTTTAATGGTGTCCCATATTTCCTGAAAAGTTTGTGTTAAGCTTTTGTTAGATTTAATGTTTTCTTATTTCTTCTATTGTATGTTCAGCACTTAGTATTCTCTCTTCCATTTTGTATTCTGCTGTTTATACTTGCATTTGTGGTTCCTTATCATTTTCTCATAATTTCCATTTCTATAATTCCCTTAGTTTGTGTTTTCTTTATTGTGTCTATTTCAGTTTTCATGTCTTGAATAGTTTCTTTCATCTGTTTGATTGCTTTTTTTTTTGTTTTCTTTAAGGGATTTGTTGGTTTCTTCCAATTTTTTGTTTGCTTTTTTCTCAATTTCTTTGAGGGAATTTTTCATTTCCTCTTTAAGGGCCTCAAACACTCTTCTAAAGTTATTTTTTAGGTCATTTTCTTCCGCTTCATCTGTATTTGGTTGTTCAAGTCTTGCTGTTGTAGAACCACTAGTTTTTATTGCTGTCGCGTTACTCTTTGTGGTGTTGAATGTGTTCTTACCTTGTCTACTAATCTGCTCATCTGATTGGTATAGTTGGGGCTGTGTCTCTGGTAATCAATCTTCCAGGTGCCCATGAATCCAAGGCTCAAAGAATTGATTCTCATGGTGTAGTCAGGGCCACAGTTCCAGTCACCCAGAGGTCACTCAGTGTTCTTGAAGGTAACTTGGAGCTTTCAGATGTTGCTATCAATTCCAGAGGTCATTAGGCCTGCTCCCATGGAGGTTGCTTGCTTGGGGCTGCTCCTACTGAAGTAGCTGCCTTGGGCCTGCTCCGGCTCAGGCCTGTTCCCGTAGATGTCCCTGGTTTGGGCCTGCTAACATGGAGGTCCCTGGCTTGGGCCTGCTCCCTTAGCAGTGGCTCCCTTGTACCTCTCATAAACCTCTGTAACCTTTCAAGCTTTTGTTCTCCCCAGATGACCTTGCCCACCTCATGACAGCACACATCCTTCCTCATTGCTTTATCCTAGGCCTACAATAGAGCAGCTTCACTCCACCTTCTGAATTTCAAGCAAAGCACACACCATTTCCTGAACACTTCATACCTTTCTATAGCCTTTGCATAAATATGAGAACTGTCTTGAAATGCCATTGAAATTAGCAGTCGCAAGCAGCACTTTCTTTAAGTGTACTCTTAGTTAACTGAGCTAAGACTTTTCAGTAACTCACACAATTTACAACTCACCAGCAATGCTAGCAAAGCTAGGGTCAATGTGTAAGGGATTCCAGTCTCCGCTGAGGCGGTACAAAGCAGCCTGCAGAGAAAAATTACCACAGTACTCAGTATTTTCTGAAAAAGCATTAAGTGCAGGGCAGGAGGCACAGCCAACTATTGATTAAAATATATAATGTACATAAATCTAGACTGTGATCTAAAAGGTAACTATTTTCTACATCTGTAACTTTAAGTTTCACTAAGGTCTTTCACTGTAATCAGTAGAGTGAGGGATGAAGCAGTGAGAAAGAAAAGCAAGAATTACACCCTCCCCCACCCCATCACCACCTAAGAGGAAACTCACAGAGGGAAAAACCCTACCAAGATAGGCACCGAACTGAACAGAGAATTCTCAGCAGAGGAAGTTCAAATGGCCAAAAGACACTTAAGGTCATGCTCAACCTCCTTAGCAATCAGGGAAATGCAAATCAAAACAACTTTGAGATATCATCTTACACCTGTGAGAATGGCTAAAATCAAAAACTCCAATGATAGCCTTTGCTGGAGAGGCTGTGGAGGAAGGGGCACCCTCATCCATTGCTGGTGGGAATGCAATCTTATGCAACCACTTTGGAAATCGGTGTTTCGGTTTCTCAGGAAATTCGGGATCAACCTACCCCTGGACCCAGCAATACCACTCCTGGGAATATACCCAAGAGATGCCCTATCATATGACAAAAGCATTTGTTCAACTATGTTCATAGCAGCATTATTTGTAATAGCCAGAACCTGGAAACAACCTAGATGCCCTTCAATGGAAGAATGGATGAAGAAAGTGTGGAATATATACACATTAGAGTACTATGCTGCGGTAAAAAACAATGACTTCTCAAATTTTGCATGCAAATGGATGGAAATAGAAAACACTATCCTGAGTGAGGTAACCCAGACCCAAAAAGATGAATATGGGATGTACTCACTCATAATTGGTTTCTAGCCATAAACAAGGGTCACAGAGTCTACAATTGGTGATCCCAAAGAAGCTAAGTAAGAAGGTGAACCAAAGGAAGAGCATATAGTTGTCCTCTTGGCTATGGGAAGTAGACAAAATTGCCGGGGAGAAAATTGAGATCTTGGGGGTGGGGTGGGATGGGGGTAAGGGGAGATGGGGAGAGAAAAGGGAGAAGGGGAGAATGGGGACAACTTGGGGAAAAAGGAGGATTGGGATAAAGGAAGGTTGGATAGGGGAGCATAGAAGCACAATTCTTAGTTAAGGGAGCCACCTTAGGGTTGGCAAGAGACTTGAACCTAGAGTGGCTCCCAGATGCCCAAGCCGAGGTCCCCAGTTAGTTCCTTGGGCAGCTGAGGATAGGGAACCTGAAATGACCCTATCCTAGAGCAATACTGACGAATATCTTGCATATCATAATAGAACCTTCATCTGGTGATGGATGGAGATAGAGACAGAGACCCACACTGGAGCACTGGACTGAGCTCCCAAGGTCCCAATGAGGAGCAGAAGGAGGGAGAACATGAGCAAAGAAGTCGGGACCACGAGGGGAGCACCCACCCAAGATAGGTAAAGGGCTAAAATCTCTTAGCCAATCAGAATCTATGCCAACTTTCTTAATGGGTCTTTTCAATTTGAAGTCTGTAACAGAGTACTGGGCAGATAGATAGCTTCTCACACACTTTCATCTTTCTGGCACACTAAATCCTGAATATTAGCTCGTGTACAAAATCAACCAATAGCTTGCCAGTATGACTCAGTAGCTCAGATGGTCACACTGCTGATTTACATAGGTAAGGCAAGAATAACAGGAAAATGTAGGCAACAGCAGGGAAAGCCGTCATTTTCTGGTATTTAAACTGTGCAGTTTTCACACTAGACTGCTCTTCAGAACTGAAGCAGAGATTCACAGGGCAGCTGGGTATTTAATGCATCTTTACAGTAGCTTGTTACACTCTATGTCCGACCGGACTCAACATCTTTTCCTTATCAAGTCTAGTTTTGAGAAAAATTTCACTTCTCTGTGGCTCAGTATTTTTTACTGTAGTTATGTTCTTCTAAATACAAGATTTTTATGTGTTAGAAAAGAAATGGTTATTTTTTTTCAAAAGCCGTACACAAACAGTAAATACCAGGAAACTATGCACTATCCACTACTGTGTATACAAAGAAAAAGAACATCTCAGGCCCACAAAGGGAAGTCGTCAGACACGAGCTACATAATGGACTTAGGTTCCAGAGGGACCTAGATTCACATCCATTCCTATCATTGCTAAACAAGTTTCTCCACCAAGATAAGCCTCAAGCTAAGAGGACTCACTTTCAGAGAAGAACTGGAGAAATTAAATGAGATAAAACTCACGGGTATTGCCTCAGCGAACATTAGCAATTTCTAAATCTTTTTACAAGACTTTAGCAACAGTGTAAGTGAACAAAGTCTCTTGTTAGCACTTGATTAGAGCCCTGTCTACACAGAGGACAAAGTGTGTGTGCCTGCGGAGACAATCCCCAGAAAAGCGCGCATGGCTGCGGATGCAAACCCCAGAAAAGTGTGCATGTCTACATGCAAGTCCCAGAAAGCATCTCTTTTGAAGAAGCAAAGACAAAAAAATATCCCCCAAGAGCTGCCTAGTGAATGAAAAGCACCAAGGGGGAATCTGAGGCCCTGTGAGACACAGAAAGCTAAACATCTTTCCAAATAAAAACATCTCCCTACAGTACTCCCTACAGCCATCCATTAAGGAGGCAGCAGACAGCACTTTGCAATGGAGAAAGGATGCCACAGCTCCAAATTAGCAATCTTGGAAGCCAAGCCATCAGCCTTATGAAGGCCGTGCACAGAGGTGCATCTCAGGGTGGTTCTCTCACTGCTGCTGATAGTTTTCGCTCTCAGTATGCTGGATCTTCCTGTCTTTCTCCCAACTACTCTCTACCTAGCCTTTCAGTTCTTGCCCTCGTTTCCATTTTTTTTTCTTGGATTTATTTATTTTTATGTGTGTGAGAGCTTGGCCTACATGTATGTCTGTGTACCACATGCATGCCTAGTGCTCAGAGAGGCCAGAAGAAAGTGCGAGGTCCCCTGGTACTGGAGTTACAGAAGGTTGTGAGCTGCCATGTAGGTGTTGGAAACTGAACCAGAGTCCTCTGGAAAAGTAGCCAGTGCTCTTAACTCCTGAGCCATCTCTCCAGTCCCCTTCATTTGCTATTCCATTGCTTTTTCTTCCTCAGTTTAACTTATTACTAAGTTGCATTTGTTTTTAATTGTCTTTCATCTCCCATGTGCCCTCAACAGCAGGGCATCTCTGCATCCCTCTGCATCCCTCTGCACCCCTCTCCACTCCCACAGGGGTGGGGTGAATCACGTGTACTTTCTCTCTAACACTGTGTGTCACTTCTGCCCTCCCAGTCTCTGGCCTAGTCGTGAGTTTGCACTTGGCTATTTCAATCAGCCTGTCAGTGTTCCTCAGTCACAGCTAGTTAGATGAAGTTCCTCCTTCGTGTGGAATGTTCTTTTACAAGGACGGGTGGTTGATACAAACTTTTATTTCTCAAGAATGGTGCTCCATTTCTCCCCTGCTCTGGGGGAATCTGATGCCATCTATCTTCCTCTGCAGGATACTTCACCATTGCCTTTCAGTCCCTCAAGGTTATTTTTATCTTTAAAGTTCAAAGATTTTACCAGAATCCCTCTCAGTGCTACTTACTGAAAATTAGCATTTCCTGGTCAAGGTAAGGGACCCAGACAATCCCATGAAGCATTTGTGATTATTTTCAGTGTTCAGCCCTGTAAAGGAATTGTCTAAATCTAAAAGGGACATCAAAAAGACCTGGTTTTGAGGTCATATCTGCTTTCAATTTAGCACAGTAGGGATTTTAATAAGGAATTATCTTTTAATGGAAAGTACGACCTACTCAGTAACAACTGAAATCCCAACAGTGCAGTTAGTGCTAGACTGTATCTGGTGAAACCACAGCTTGTTTCTCGTCCTCCACAGTTACAACGCCTGGTGTGAAGAGCTGTCACTGCTTGGCCTTTTTACATCACTACATGAAAATCTTGACTCTTCATGAAACACTTGTTTTACTTGTATGGTCAAGCGAGCTACCAGTGAAGAAACTGTGCCATGGACATTTAAACAGCATATCTGAGAAATGGCATCTGTAGGGCTAACACGGTACACTTGTGCTTGCTTGCTGACTAGAAAGTTACTACTATACAAAACCCAGCACCATTTATGCTCTAATGGCACAATTTTTCCATTTTTGGAAAGATCTGCTCATACACATTGTCCTCCATTAACCACCAATGTAAATGTGACTTTGGCCTTCACATACCCTGACCCACACCCTGCGTCTGCCTCTCTGTGCTCCACTAGACTTCCCCACATCTTCCCTGACAGCCTGAAAGCCCACATCTCTGAGGAGGAGCATCCATACACCAATCACCTTTCTGCCAAGTCAATCATTACTGGCAAACCTTTCTGCCTATCACTTAAAGGAGTGCCCTTCTCCAAGAACTTAGCAACGTCTGGTGTCTCATATTCCCTTGCTTGGAATAAGATGCCCAAGTTAACTCCAGAAGTATAGTGTGTTCACAATGTCAACAGAGCAGTTTCATCAGCCAGATGATCAGCACTTCTCACCTGATTCAATGAGGTGGTGTCTCTCAGGACCGCATCAGGAGGTCGTCTCGGTACAGCCACAGCTGCCTGAAATCAAAATACCTGTGTGTCAACTTAAATATATGTGATTCTCTAACAAAACTAACATCACATAAACAACCAAGTGTCAACATAATAAACTCTGAAAACTGGATTAAAGATTTTTTAATATTTTATGTCAAGAGAAAAACTACATTTAAAATTTCATAGCTCCTAGCGTTTTATAAATTACAGTTTCCCTAAAATGACTCTTTTCAATATAAGAAATATTATCAGACCTGTTCTCAGGTCACAGGGGACAAAAGACAGTTTTTCCTATGTAAAAAGAAAATGACAACTCAAAGAATTAAACAATTTACATATTTTAGTTTGTCATGTTAACAAAATAATACATTTTTATCAACTTTTTAAATTTTGATTTTTATTATTAATTACATGGGTACACAGGAATGCAAGTGTGTATGGGGGTCAGAGACATCAGATTCCGCCATATTGGAGCTACATTGTATATTTTATTTATTTATTTATATAGAAATAAAATATCACCAGCGAAGTGGCTCAAGCCTTTAATGCCAACATTCAGGAAGCAGAAGCAGGCAGATCTCTGTGAGTTCGAGGCCAGCCTGTCTACAGAGCAAGTTCCAGGACAGCCAAGGCTACACAGAGAAACACTGTCTTGAAAACCAAAGTTAAAAAAAAAAGAAAGGGAGAGAGGGAGGGAAGAAATATCAACTGTGCCACAATTACACAATATTTTACAAGAAAGTCAACTTTTCTAATTATGGTGCCGGTGATTTTTACTATGAAATATTAAGCTTAAATATCATCAAATTTGTTCTACAAATCCCAAAACCACAATCCTAAAAGGCCATGAGTAAAGGGGCTACTTCTATAGTAAGAAGTTGCTGCTTCTCAAAAGAGATTTTTAACTTATTTTTAAGTGGTTGGGGGAGAGAAAGGGAGAAGGGAGGGGGGAGAGGAAAGCTGCTATAGAAAGACTCATTCAGAGCCTATTAAGTCAGCCTTAGAGGAGAGTGAAGAAAGCTGAGCCCAGTGGCTCACTCCTACCACCCTGGCACCCCAGGAAGCTGAGGCAGGAGGACTGCTACCAGTTTAAAGCAACCTGCTCTGCTTCATCTGAAAAAAAAGCAAAAACAAAAAGGGTGTGGGGCTGGGGAGAGAGCTCAGCAGATGGAGTTTATACTACTCCTGCAGGGGACTCAAGTTCGGTTCCCAGAAGTCACCAGCAGTCTGATGCCTCTGCTTTCTCCAGACACCTGCATATACCCACACACAAACACGTGATTAAAAACGAAAGACAACAGTGGTCACTAGATAAGAAAGGGGTAGTGGGAAGGAGTGCAGCAGCCTGAACCAGCCAGTGCGGACCAGGGCAGCAGGACAGCGGAAGGTCAAGCAGCATATATCGAGAATAGGTTCCAGGACATGCCAATGCTGTTTTCTGACTTATATTTTGAACACATATACTGAGTTGCCATATGCCCCATAAAAATGTACAAATATTATACCCCCAAAAAATTCTTACTTTGAGTTTTTCTGATGTCCGTTTTCCACCAAAGCCCCCAGAGCCAACAACAAAGATTGAGAACTGATTATAACATATGAGCTCCTTCCCAGAATAAGAATGGACTAAAAAAGAAGAAAAAGGAAAAAAAGAAGTAGTTAATGAAGATAGGCTTAACACTTCCTTTAACAGCTAAAAGAATAAACCACGGCCAGTGCAAAGGTCAGCATCTACAGTGAGCATGGGGTTTGCCAAGTTGTACTTCAGTTTTCTCATCTCCAGTCTCTGGCGGCAGGGAGAGCTACCCAGCCTTCCTCTGTGAACCATGGGCTTATCGCTTAAATCACCCAACTACCACCTAGATCTCAAGTTTTATCTGCCACTAATATTTCAAACAATTCCTCAAGAAAATCCAAGCTACCACACTCAAACCCTGAAATACTGTCAAAGCACTGAGAAAGAACATGGATCTTAAAGAGACAGGGCAGGAATGAGGCTATAGAATGGCTCCGGGGATGCCATCATGCTGGTTCTGTTAACCACTCTATCCCTAGGGTGCCCAATACAAAGAAGGTTCCTCCTGCCTCAGCCAACTGAGTGCTGAGATCATTATTCGTGGCTTTCCATGCATTTTTACCTAAGATATTTCAACTTCTAATGTGTTTACTGGGGTGCAACCCCATGGTAAGTCAGGGAGCACTGGCATGGCCCCCAGGATTTCCCTCAGAAACAACACATCAGGCAGAGCTGACAGTTCTACTTAAATAAAATGTAGTCACAGTGTTTACGTCATGAGTTCAACAGCCTTACATGCAGTCTAGAAACCCAACTGCAATCTACACTAATCGAGTTCCAAACAGCTAACACTGAAAAGAGCATCAATAGCCCAGCCCAGCCGCGTCAACCCTACTGCAGTAGGTGTAACTCTCGCTGTGACTTGAACAGGAACACACTTCTCACTTCTGTGCTGAGTTGCGTTGTTTCAACCCAGCGACATGTTCCACCTGCCATAGCTTTAGCTCCAATCTACTCCACCTCCTCCCTTATTTTTCTTAAAAACCCTATGAAAGTTTAAAATGCTTACTTTGATCTCTTACACATTATAAAATGAACACAAACTGAATCGATCTCTGTGGTAAAGTGTGCTACCTGCAAAGCCTATCACTCTAATGATATTATTATAACAATTACAGATGAGTTACCGTCCATAACAATCACTATGCCCGATCCTTTATCCAGGATGTCAGCAACAACTGCTTCACATCTTAATTCTCCTAAAATTAAAGATAAATAATTACATGATAAATAATTAAAACATGAAGGAATTCACCACGGTTTCCACTTACTTCAGCAAAGCTTAAAAAATTATGGTTTTAAATATTTTCCCCTAACTTTACACTAAAAAAGTATAATTGTTTATACAAAACATAAAATACAGAACATATAAATCACTAAACTTAATAATTACTAAATTTCTGATGTAAAATTGTGAGACATTAATATTTCTGATGTAATTTTTTAATAATCATTTCCAATGACAGTGACACCTCTTGCAAGGTCCAACTGGCCTCTCAATCCTGGGTAAGCACAACTCCACTTCCTCCATTCCTTCGCAAATCTCTATGGCTTTTGTGAAACACTACCTAAATTTTCTTCTCCGAACTTTTTTTTTTTTTTTGAGTCCTCATTTAACTGGTTAAACTCAGCGGGTAACAAAACAAAAGAAAACACAAAAGATAAAAACCAACGTGGTGGGGGGGGGGGGGACACCACAAGACTTGTGGAAAGAAGCAGATGGACAGGGTGGAAGAAGGAGGGAGTGAGGGTTACCAGGAAGTATTGTTTACAAGTGTGAAACTGCCAAGGAAAAAAGTCAGTTATTTGAGACCTGCTTTTCTCTTTCCTCCACAACTGGACTAACACCCAGCCCCGACCACACCACTTGAACCCACAGGCAGCAAATCCATGCTAATCCTTGAATGTACAGAGACAGGTACATTTTTAACTTCAGCAGTTCAAGGTTATCTTCTGCTAAGGAAAAAACTGATGGTCACCCTGGGACATGACAGGCCTTATCTCAAAAAAGGATGGATAGATGGACAGAGGGGACAAACAGACGGATGGATGGGAGGAACAGATGGACAGATGGAATGAACACACGGTTGGACAGATAGACAGACAGATAAGCTTTGGTGAATATCCAAAGTATTACCAAGAAAAGAAAAAAGTTATTAGATAGGTTTAGTTTTCTTCTCTTCCAAGGGAATAGGGAAAAATTACAAAAGCTACATTTTTCAACATTGTTTGTTTATGCAAATTAATCTTAAGATAAACAACCACAGGAACCATAACTGATACACAGTCATAATGGTACATATGTCACTACAGACAAACTGATAGTACTAAATAATTTTACTGTTAGTGGAAGACAATCAGAAATCAGTATAAGTACTGGTTAACTTTATCTACTCTCAGGTTACATGGATGCTTCTGACATCTTATTGGGTTGGGCTATGCTAGTTTAAGACAAGAGATTGGCTTGGGAGGTTAATCAGAAAATTAAAGCATACTATTAAACAATTAGTTCACATAAACTCACCTGATCGAGGAAGCGGTTTATACAACTCCAAGTATTGCTCCCCATGAAGAACCTACGTTACAACAAATGCAATCTTATTAGCCAACTTTCTTGTACCAGAGTCTACCCGTGGGTACCGCTAAACACAATGACATTTTACTATCCACACACCACGTCAGCCATCTATAGCAGTAAGGTGTTTACTTCTTAATCATGCAATGTAGAAATCATTAGTATGGCAGCATAAAGACAAACAGATCTTTGGGAGGAGAAAAGATAAATCTGTGTCCTTTGAATCCAGGGATCCTTACTGGCTCTACTGATTTACCAATGGAGCCACTCAATCAGGTAGATTAACCAGGCTTCAATTGAAGACCACACAGCCAACAATATGTAGCCAGCACAAATCAATCTTGTTAGGCTTTTAAAAAGACACAAAGTTGTGTGGATAAAGACTTGGAGGTGAATCTGGGAAGGGCTGGGGTTGGAGGAATGAATATGACCAAAACGCACTGTATTAAACTCACAAAGAACTAAGAAAAAGATTAAAAATTAAAAATCTTATGGGGCAAAAATTAGTATAAACTAAAATCTTTATAATTGCCATAAGGTTTTCTTCTCATAACAGCCTCAAATAGACCCTCTCTGTACTCTACAGTTAAGACTGACGTCTTGCTGTTCCAAAACAAGTCAAGGACATGCTGTCCTGGGGCCTGTCTATGCTAGAGATCCTTCCCCAGGTAATTAGTGGATGTTCTCCTTCATCACTGTTGTGAGGTGAAATCTGCCTATCCACTCTATGGATGAAGAAGCCAAAGCCGAGAGCAGCTACTTACAATTACAGTAGTAAGTAAATGGCAGAGAGAGGATTAACATTATTCCAGGATTGCAGGTTTATATATAAGTATTTTCTTCTTAGAATTTTAAATTAACTCTCCCCTCTTTTATTTATGAAAAGAAAAATCAAAAGACATACTAAATCATTACTCCTAAGCCAACCACCAAAGTCAATTTATATAATCTTCATATATATGTGTGTGTGTGTGTGTGTGTGTGTGTGTGTGTGTGTGCGCGCGCGCGTGTGTGTGTATGTATGTATTCATATTATATATAAATTGCATGGATGTAATGTTTAATAATATAGTATGAGATATTTATCAATAACATTTAAAGAAACAGTTAAAAAAAGCCAATTAAAAGTTTCTTAGTAGGCATACCTTTGAAAACTCGATTGACAGCCCAGGAATCTCTGCTAGCCCTCCATTCATCATGGACTTCTGAGCAATAATAACACCAAAGGTGGGCAAACAGGAGAAGTCAGCACTTCCTTCATACACAAACTTCAAATCCTCCGGATTCTTGACAGAAGCTCCTACGCCAAGGGCATACATAATACTCTCCAGTTCCGAATATGAAGAGGAGAATGAAGGAAGCTTATGGCCAATAGCAGCAGCCTAAGAGAAAAACAGGAAAACTATTGCCCTCCACATTAGCATCCATGGCCCCGACTTCAAATCATAACTATAAGGTAGCAATACTCTCAGGCTCAAAATCAGATTTCTAACTAAAAACCACAGCTTCCTGGGTCACAAAATACCAGGGCAATCTGTAATAAATGATTTCTTTCTTGTCTACTACACTTCTTTTTTTCCTTCTAACGAAAATAGATCTTTTTTCCTCACATAATATACCCTGATTAGTTTCCTCTCCCTCTACTCCTCCCAGTTCCTCCCACCTCCCCTCGTCTGATCCACCCCTTTTGTCTCTTGTTAGAAAACTGGCTTCTATAAAATAATAATAAAGTAAAATATAACATGATAAAATAAAACAAAAACTAACACATGAACTAGGACAAAACAAACAGAAGGAAAAGCCCAAGAAACAGACAGAGACGCACTTATTCACACACTCAGGAATCCCATAAAAACACTAACATGAAAGTCATAATATCTATGTGAAGGACCTATAGGCTAAAAAAGAGAATTACATATACGTATATATAATAAAAATTAGCTTTCTTATATTAGTTTTCCATATAATAAAAATAAAACTTTATATGTATATATTACATAAATTATACATATATTCATATATGTGTATATATATATATATATATATATATATCCATCCCCTGACCTGACATTACATCCACCGAACAGTAAACTGACAAATATCCCAGAGAGAGAGCTAGAACCCTCCTCATATTCTGTCCCTCACACAATGAAGCATCTGGCCAGGTCAGGGGGTCAATATTTTGTAATATCAGTGCTTTCCCTTAAAAGATCTTGCCTAGTGGACCAAATGAAAAAATGGAAAAGAACCATCAAAATAAAGATTCTTTCCCAAAATATTATAAAAATTATGACTTTAAGAGGGTTACTAATGTCCAAGAAAAAAGACACTTGTCAAACTGAAGGAAAACAGCAAAAAGAAAGTTATATTTTAATGTTCAGCTTGTATGTGTTAATTCTATCTACATTTAGGGCATAGTTTACAATAAGCCACTTATTTATTTTTTCAATTAATGTCTTAAAGAATAATTTTGTTAAAATGTTTTGGAATTATTGAACACTAGATCCCGAGTCGTGGCTGACTGACAGGAGCACCACACATGAACATCTTTCATCAGCAGTAGAGGTAACGGCTTTCTCTCTCTTCCATCCACTATCTCCCTGGGTTGCTTTTCAAATAGCAAGGAGGATGTCGGCTAGTGGTGTGGGATGTCCTTATGTATATGTGTTGTTTTTATTGGCTAATGAATAAAGCTGCTTTGGCAATGGCTTAGCAAAGTAAAGTCAGGCAGGAAATTAGAACAGAGATATAGAGAGAGAGTAGGTGGAGTCAGAAAGATGCCATGTAGCTGCCTAAGAAGCAAGAGGTAACAAACCACAACCCTTGTGGTAAAATATAAAATAATAATGGAAGCCGGGCGGTGGTGGCGCATGCCTTTAATCCCAGCACTTGGGAGGCAGAGGCAGGCAGATCTCTGTGAGTTCGAGATCAGCCTGGTTTATAAGAGCTAGTTCCAGGACAGGCTCCAAACCACAGAGAAACCCTGTCTCGAAAAAAGCAAAAAATAAATAAATAAATAAATAAAATAATGGAAATGGGCTAATTTAAGATGTAAGAACTAGCTAGAAATACATCTAAGCTACTGGCTAAGCAGTGTTGTAATTAATATAGTTACTGTGTGATTATTCAGGCCTGGGTGGCCAGGAAACGAAAGAGCAGTCTCCTGCTACAAAGTGGCACCATCGTCATACAACTATACCCACATAAAAACTGAGAAATCTTGGGAAAGAATTCTAGACACAAAAGAACAGAGTTAAGCACAGCTTCTTGGTAGCCACATTTTTTCAGACAGGCTCTGTTTGCTGGCCAAAGCAGAGGTGCTGCTTCCTTAAGAAAAGGCTTCCGGGCTCATGCTGGTGGCACAAACAGCTTTCAAAAGGCTCTGGATCTACAAGGATGTACTGCTATGAAGCACTTAAATGGGGTCAGTGAGCAACATGGTACTAGTTACTTAATGGCAATATAGACCTGCTGTGTCCCTGGCGTTGGGGCAGTGAGAAAGACTTGCAGAGGCAGTGAACACATCTCTGCCATGTTGGACTGGACAAAGTAAGCAGGCAGGGCCACAGAGTTGGTCCTATCTACATGCTTAGCATAAAAAAAAAAGTGTTCCTGGTCAGAAAATGATTACAGACACACAGTAAAGACAGACTCATATGAATAAGACTGCTGAATGAGTCACATTGTTGAATAAATGTACATAGGCTTGGGAGAGAAAAGAAAGACTATAGACAATTCTAAAAAATAGATTAAAAAATAAAACAAAATTTTTAAGGAGACAGCAAAAGTAATCTAAACATTGGTCAAGCAGTGTTGTAATTAATATAGTTTCTGTGTGATTATTTGAGTCTGGGAAGCTGGAACATGAAAGAGCAGTCTCCTACAACAAACTAGCTAACACATCAACTGGGCAACTAACTTAATTCATCTCAACCCTAAAGAAAGACTATCAAAAAATTACATGCAAAACTATACTCCTGAAAACAGAGAAAAGCTTCCAGCTCCTATACTTATCACACAGAAACACCCAGGACAGAAGCTGAGCTGATACCTTCCACTCTCCTATTCCAGCTCATACATCAAGAAGAGCTTTGGGAAACAATATCCAAATCCCCTCCTCTCCTCTCAAGACAGACTTCCATCAAAGCAAAAAGCATGGTCAAGCCTAGAAAAATCTCAGAGGAAAGGTGGAAAAGACGAAAAGAGTTATCTGGACAGCTTCAGAACTGACTTCAAACCACATGCTCATGTGGTCATCATGAATTCCTTATGTGTTAAACTTAGTCTTATTCCAAACAATAATAAACGGTTTCTGAGGACACACAACCGGGGGAGGATGAGTCTGTAGGTGGACTTCAGGCATTTCCCCTACTTACAAATCCTGATGTGGCTGCAGATACCGCATGACTTGTGTGGTTTTGGGAGACTCCTTCTGAATCTACTTTATGTAAAACTTCAAGTATGCCACTCGTTGATTCTACAATAAAAAAGATAAGAAAAGATAGAGTTTTGCTGTAAAATCTGAATAAAGAAAACTGCAATATGCAAGAAAGCACCCACAATACCCTTCCACGGATGATCCCATTCCAGTGGATGGCCCCACACCCATGATACTGAACTAAATGGGTTACTAAAACAACAACAACAAAAAAGAGGATATGAAGTGAGAGCAAAGAAGGTGGATATGAGAGCAGTTAGAGGATGGTGTGGGGTGTATATAATCAAAACACATTGTACACATATATGAACTTTCCAAAGAATTAATTTAAGATATGTTTTTCAAAGGACTCCACATGAACATGCAGTTAGTAAGTCATACATCTGAAACAAAAGCAGGAAGAAGAGTTACATTAGATGTTCGCACGGTAGGTCAGCTAACAGAAGAATATCTGGGACTACCCTGCTGAGCATTTGGGGTCTGAATTTTTCTAAAGAAGTCCTAAAATTAGGTATAGGTGACAAAAGGAGGCGGGGGTGGGAGAAAGAGAGAATAGCAAAGTCGATGAGCTGAACCAATGCCATTCCTATAACTAAAGGAGAGAGCTAAGCCTAAGCAAAAGAACCAGGACTTCTAGGGCAACAGAGAAAACTGCATCAGATTACGAACATGTGGCCAAAGGCTGGAGAGATGGCTCTGAGGATAAGAGTGCATACTGCTCTTACAGAGGACCCGAGTTCAGTTCCCAGCACCCACATGAGGAGTTCACAACCTAGAACACCAGCTCCATGACATCTAATGCCCTCTTCTCAGCTCTAAAGGCACCTGCACTAATGTATACACACACACACACACTTAAAAATATATGTAAAAATTAAAAAGAGCACATGGCAAGAAAATGGAAGACTCCAAAGCCAACCACCATCTGGGAAGAAAGTACATGAAGCACAAATAAGTACACACCCACAGCCATCCATCTACCAGAAACACACCAACCAAACACACAGGACTAAGAAGCACTGAACAAACTGCCTATGAAGACTCCTAGCACCTAGTGGAGCAGAAACCACGTATGTTCCCAACACCTGAGTATCTGCTTCGGCACAGTCAAAACAGATGAACTGCATACGGAAAAGACAACTTGTTGCCTCTCCTTCCTGGCCAAGAAGACCAAAGAACTTGGGACTGTACCTTGAATGGTCCTCGGCTTGCTGGCATTGCTGAAGTCACAGATCTTCTCCCAGTTGTCCCTCACTGCCTCGGGAGTCATGGGCTGATTCCTCTGCCTAACAGTGGCTCCGAGGGTCCGCTCCCAGCGCACTAGTTATGGAAACAAAACTAAGACACTGTGCACATAGCTTGAAGGACACAACATAAGACGCTTGAGAGCCATCTTCAAGGAAAAGGAAAATCCTAAAGGAAAGTCATGCTGGCTTCTGACGAGCTCTACCAAAACCCTTAGAAGATATTTTTCTTTAAAGGCCCGTTAGCAGCAATGTCAGGTTTTTAGAGAAAGATCTGCAGCTGAAGGACAGAGGGACACGGATAGGCACAAAGCATAAGAACATAAATGGATGAAGATGCTGTAGTAAGACCTACCACTTTGCATGCTAAGTTAAATAGCACAAAATTAAATTTAAATTTTAAAAAAAAAAGAAATATCTGAAACTGAAGAGAAACTTCTCTAGTTCTGTCAGGAACTGCTAATAGCATTGTCTCCAGCTGAACCTGGAGACGCAGTTCCACGCAGTCACACCGAGGGCAGATCACTTAGCACAAGGCAGTCCACTTTCCTTGTTTGTGGACGAAGACTGGCAAGACAAGGCCTGCTGCTGCTGCACACTGAGAACCAGAGTGACAGCAAACAGGTTCCAGCTACAGATCCTGGACTCCACAGCTACCAACAACTCCCCTCCAACCATACTTGGCTCGCCCTCCATTCCCACAGACTCACCAGAACCTTGCAGGGTCACAAGAAGTCCTACTGCTCTTGAGTTCTCTTGAGAAATTTAACACTGTTTTCTGTTTTAAACATCCCATAGCAGTAACTAACTACTATAACATTTGAACATGATGGTGGACACCGGTGACCACTCAGTGTACAACATCTTAAAGGAAAGAAAACGACACCAGTTTCTAGAGTTTTTCCCTCCTGTAAAAAGGGTCCATATGTAGTGTAGCTGTTACTGCAACCCTTACCTTGCTGTTTTAAATGTTATTTAAACGCTGTTAAGATAACCAAATGCTTAAGAAATATAAGTTACTTTATGGTTAACTGATGGAAGTTATTAATGCATATATATATATATATACACATACATACCTATATGTGGATATTTAGATATACTCTATAATATGTGAAAGTGTCCTTCATTGATACCAATCTTCTAAATAATTCTATGATTAATTATGATATCAGCAAACAAGTAAAAGTAAGCTGAGATTCTGAATTTTCCACTTTTTGGTTTTGTTTTGCTTTGTTTTTCAAGACAATGTTTCTCCATGTAGCCCTGGCTATCCTGGAACTTACTCTGTAGACCAGATCCACCTGCCTCTGCCTCCCAAGTGCTGGGGAAAGGAGTGCGCCATCATGCCCGGCAAGTTTTCACATTTTTTAACACTAAAAAGCAACTACTATATTTGAAACTTAGAAGGTTTAAGAAAGAATGTATCAAGGGTGAAGCCAAATGAATTTCCTGTGGGGAAACAATTCCCACACATCAGCTGCAGCTTCTGTCCCTGAAAGCTCTCCCCTGTGCTCTTACTTGCTCCTGACATCTTCCATTCTAAAAAGAAGAGAATTACATGAGAGAATTGGGAGATCTGCTTATCCATCTAGAACAGGCTCCTCCCACTTTCAGACAGGCCAAATCACTGTTCTGATTAAACAGCAGGAAGCATGAGTGATAATGTCAACAAAAAGGAACTACAGTATCTGAAGAGAGTAAGGTAAACCCAGTGCTACCTATAGGGATAGCAGACAGGTCCTTAAAAGCACAAGAGGCTGGCAGAATAATTCCCATGTTTTAGTACCTTTAGCTGGAACAGTATTCTAGTCTGAGTATAAGCAGGTTATAAAATGAAAAAGAATTATCACAAGCAAAAACACAACAAAGACTTACATTTTCCAATCCAGCCTGCTCCAACCTAACAAAAAGAAGGGAAAAAATATCATCTAATATAAATCATTAAGAGACTGTTTTGATTATGATTAATACTAGGATGCTAGATAACAATGATAGCTCTGCACAAAGCCCCGGCTCCATCAAAGCAGAAGCCTGCAGCAAGCAATGCTGTGGGTGGGGATGCAAGAGGCTGAGATAAGGCAAGGGACCACATTCCAATTTCTGCATTATATTAGAAGTCATTCTAGTAAATCTTAAGGGGGACAAGTATCTAATTAAAGAAACTCATCCCTTCACACACTACTATTGGCCAGAACTTACTGGAATTCCTCACGCATAACAGAAGAAACACATTAGTAGCAGACACCTTAGTGGAGCTAGATCCAACATTAAGACTTCTCATCACCTTTTGCCTTTGCTATGTATGGTGATTTGAATAGGTATGAGTCCCATAGACTCATTGTTTGAATTCGTGACCCATAGGGAGTGACACCATTAGGAGGTGTGACCTTGTTTGTGGAAGTATATTATTGTAGGTGTGGGTTTTGAGGTCCTTTTTTTTTTTTTTGAGATTTGTTCATTTATTATGTATATAGTGTTCTGCCTGAAGGCCAGAAGAGGGCACCAGATCTCATTATAGATGGTTGTGAGCCACCATGTGGTTGCTGGGAATTGAAATCAGAACCTCTGGAAAAGCAACCAGTGAGTGCTCTTAACCTCTGAGCCATCTCTCCAGTCCCACGGTTTGAAGTCTTATATGCTCAAGCTACACCCAGTGTGGCACACAGTCTCCTTTTGCTGCCTGAAGATCAAGATGTACATCAGCTATCTCTCCAGCACCATGTCTGCCTGCATGCAGCCAGGTTTTCTGCCATGATGATAATGGACTGAACCTCTGAAACTGTAAACCAGTCCCAATTATGTGTTTTCCTTTATAAGAGTTGCCATGGTCATGGTGTCTCTTCACATTAAAAACCCTAACTAGGACAATATGCTCACATCTTTTATAATATATCCAATTAATAGTGGATTGATCAGCTTCAGTTTTGACCACAGGCAAAGGCAATGGATGGGGAATTGGAGAAATAGACAAATTTTCAAGAAGGCAACTTAAAACTTTCAAACATCAGCCTTTCAATGAACAATCCTCAAACATTCTGTCACTGGTTACTTAAAAGCATGCCAGCACAGAGCACTCTTCTGACTGACCCAAAGCTTTAAAGTAAACAATATGGCTAGATATTTCCTCCTAAACATTCATTCTAAATTTGGAACCACATGGAATCACCTTAGCTGACATCAAAATCAAAGCCAACATAACAAAAGATGGTTATTTTCCTCTGCTAAGACAGCACATATTTCCTGCTCAAGGTTCAAGTCATTCTGGGCAAAACACAGTTTCCATGGTCCATCTCAGCAAACACTATGAGCCATTCTCAGAACAGCTGGCTCTTTGCTCTTTCTCTGTTGGCCTGACTTACTGCGCTTGCCAAGTATACTTCATTTCTGGACTTCTATATCATTAGAATCTTACTAACCCTTTCCTCTGGTTGCCCTTTAGATATTTGGAAGGTGTTCAAGGGTAAGCTTTTCTAACTTCAGACCACCTAACCTGACTTGAGCAATTTGGTAACAACATCACCTTTAGCCATATTGTGAGTGAAGTAACAAACTACAGGGGCCAAAATATCTGCACCAGCTGAACCAATCTCATCTCCCACCAGCAACTCCAGGAATCCATCAGATCTGAGCAAAGCATACCTTCAAGTTTAAACTCAGATTATTTCATATATTTCCTACTATATTTTTCAATTGTATACATCAAACGTTACTCATTAAAAAATGTCCGCACATAGTAAAAGAAAGTAACAACATAAATTTTTATATGCATGCATGATCTCAGCCATATGAGTACAGAGATGAAGATTTATATAAAATATCCCATCTGAAAGAACAGTCTATGTAAAATGTATATCAAATAGAAGACTGGAAGGAGATATTGGAAAATTCATAGCAGTTCTCAGGACAGTAATAATGCATGGTTTTTATTCTCTCCTATTCACATTCTTATGTATTTAAGATTACCGCACAGATGATATATTATTTTGTGTAGTTAATAATAATGTAATTATAAGGAAATAAGTAATATTTTGATTCCTAGCTAGGTAGAAAGAGGTCAGATCAAATTTCAAATTTTAAGTGGCTCAATATCATTAAATTTTTCTATTCTGTAAAATTAAGAGTGCAAAGTTCCTTCTACATCTAATTTCTGTAATTTACACTTAGTTGGTATAATTAGAAAGGTGGATGTATATAACTTCACTCAAATATATGAGACCTTTCCTCCTTAATTCATTCATCAGCTTGTAATTCAAATGAAATTGGCTAATAATATATTAGTTCAAACCTAGGCAGGTTCTTATGCTCCTAAGAAGCATTTTTAATTCTATAGTCTATATACTATGGGTTCATTACTGTTAGGGTAAAGGGATGTCTAATATAGAATGCCTTGGCTAAAATAAGGAGATCAATCACAAATGGATATAAAAATATGTAAGTTAGCTGGGTCTGGTGGTGCACACTATAATCCTACCTGAGCAGCTGGGACAGGAAAAGCTCAAGTTCAAGGCCAACCTGGGGTAAGTACTAAGTTAAAGGTCAGCCTAGGTGAGACCCTGTCTAAAAATAAAAATATAAACATAAGAGAGCTGAGATGCTGACCGAGCCCTTGCCTTCTACAAAGCTCTAAACCCAGTCTGCAGCAGCACAAACGGTTCCAACAAATGGTGCACTGTACATCATTTTTATTTTGACAATATCCACGGAGAGCTACAGAATAGGGAAAACTAGAAGACCTTACTGCTGAACTCAGAATAAACAAGCTGTATTTACTGCTCTGTTACACTCAAACATCATTTATAACTAAATTGGAGGAAGGAAACACTAGGCTCTCATGCCAAGGGTTTTAAATGGTGTGCAGTTTTCACAAAGACCCCAAGAAGACTAAATTCTGCAGGGTTAATTTACACCACAACCCTGCGAGCCAGCCAGTGCTAGGCCAAATGTTCAAGTTCTGGCCTAGCTGACTCTAAACATCTGTTTTATCATTTATCATTCGTCTTCTTAAATCAATGAGATTTTCTATATTTTACTAAACACATCAAATCAGCCACATTGCAACTAGGAAAAAATATTAAAAATGAACAGCTTTGAAAAAGAGTTTGTAATGATAATGTCATTTTCTAAAACAATGGATCCACACTTGCCCGTGTAAAACAAGGTCTTGCTATGTAGTTCCAGTAGAACACAAACTCGTATCCTCCTGCCTCGGTCTCCAGAGTGCTGGATAACAGAGTAATAGTACATACCACCTTTCCCAGCTTGACACTTGTTCCTTAACAACATATACACAATATGTGACAAGCCAAGTGTTACAACTACAACAGATTTTTTTCTAGATGTAAGCGTTTGGGAAATACTAATATACAGTCTTTTTAAAATTTAATTACATAAACGAGGCTTTAGAAGAAATACAAAGTTTCACAGTACCTCAAATAAGCCACCATTTTCCTCACAGCTCTCATGGCAAAGCCAAAGGACCAGAGGGGCCACATAATCTGGCTTCAGGGCTTCAACAATGTCTAAAATAAATACAAAAACATCAATAAGCAAGAGTACAAACAAGTTTCATACATCATTTTACTTTCTGAAAATATTATATATAAATAATCAGACTTTTAAAACAAATATGATAAAATTTTATGTAGATAATTCATCTAAGTTTAAAAGCTTTTAGAGATTTTTCATCCCAACTGAGAAAAACCTAACATACTCTCAAGTTTCTCCAATCACAGGCATAATGTGTGCCTTTCAACAGGCAAGCACTGTTGATAAAAATAAAACAAAAATGGACAATCTTAGGTACCACTCACTCTCAAAGGAGATCAAAGGGTTACAAACTAGAAAGGAAGAAGTCAACCATTTGCTATTTGCACATGATATGAGAGTATATATAAGGGATCCCAAAAATTCTACAAGGGAACTCCTATAGCTGATAAACACCTTTAGTGAAGTGACTGGATATAAGATTAACAAACACACACAAAAAAAATTAGTAGCCCTCCTATATGCAAACGATAAACAGGCTGAGAAATCAGAAAAACAATGACCTTCATAATAGCTACAAATAATATAAAATATTTTGGTGTAACTTTAACCAAGTGAAAGACCTGTATGACAAAAACTTCAAGTCTTTGAAGAAAGAAATTGGACAAGACATCAGAAGATGGAAAGATCTCCCAAGATCCCAATCAGTAGGATTAACAGTAAAAATGGCCATCCTACAAAAAGCAATCTACAAATTCAACACAATCCCAATTAAAATCCCAACACAATTCTTTAAAAACTTTGAAAGAACAATACTCAAATTCACATGGAAAAATCAAAAAACCCAAGATAGCTACAACAATCCTGTACAATGAAGAAACTTCCAGAGGTATCACCATCCCAGATTTCAAGCTTTACTACAAGGCTATAATAATAAAAACTTCACAGTACTGGCATAAAAACAATTGGGTGGATCAATGGAATCAAATTGAAGACTCAGACGTAAATCTACACACCTATGGACACCTAAATTTTGACAAAGAAGCCAAATTTATAGAGAATGAGAGAAAGCATCTTCATCACTTCCCAGCCTTTTGGCTAAGATCAAGTGAAGAAAACATTTTCAACAAATGGTGCTGGCATAACTGGATGTCGGTATGTGGAAGAATACAAATAGATCCATACCCATCACCCTGCACAAAACTTAAGCCCAAATGGATCAAAGACCTCAACATAAATCCAGATACACTGAACCCCATAGAAGAGAAAGTGGGAAAATCCTTGAAGGCATTGGAATAGGAGACAATTTCCTAAACAGAACACGAATAGTGCAGATACTAAGATGGACAATTAATATATGGGACCTCATGAAACTGAAAAGCTTCTGTAAGGGAAAGAACATTGTCAATAGGGCAAAACAGCAGCCTACAGAATGGAAAAAGATCTTCACTATCCCCACATCTGTCAGAGAGCTGATCTCCAAAAAATGTAAAGAACTTGAGAAACTAGACATCAACAAATCAAATAATCCAAGTTTAAAAATGGGGTATAGATCTAAACAGAGAATTCTCAACAGAAGAATCCCAAATGGCTAAAAAAATTGTTTAAAGAAATGTTTTAACATTTAAAGGAATGTTCAGCATCCTTAGCGATCGGGGAAATGCAAATCAAAACAACTCTGAGGTTCCTTCTTATACCTCAGAGTTATATCAGAATGGCAAAGACCAAAATTACAAGTGACAGCTCATGCTGAAGAGGATATGGAGCAAAGGGAACACTCCTCCATTGATGGGAAGAATACAAATTTGTATAGCCACTTGAAAATCAATATAGTGGTTTTTCAGAAAACTGAGAACTGATCTACCTCAAGACCCAGCTAGGACCGGGTCTGAATGAGCATGTGATCATACCGGACTCTCTGATTGTGGCTGACAATGGGGGCTGACTGAGAAGCCATTGATAAAGGCACCGGGACTTGTTTTTACGGCATGTTCTGGCTTTTTGGGACCCTAGTCTATATGGATGCACAGCTCTCTAGGCCTGGATGTAGCAGGGAGGGCCTTGGACTTCCCACAGGGCAGGGTTTCCTGCCCTCTCTCAAGCAGGGTGGGAGAGGGAGGAGGGAGTGTGGGAGTGGGAGGGGATTGGGAGGAGGGATGGAAGTGTAAATAATTGAATGGAAAAATAAAAAAAAATAAAAATAAAAAGACCCAGCTATACCATTCTTGGGCATATACCCAAACAATGCTTAATTATACCACAGGGCACTTACTTCACTATGTTCATAGAGGTGTTTTTCATAACAGCCAGACAAAGAAACAACCTAAATGTCCCTCAACTGAAGAATGGATAAAGAAAATATGGTGTATTTACACAATGGAGTATTACTCAGCTGTTAAAAACTACGGCATCCTGAAATTTGAAGGCAAATGGATAAAACTAGAAAAAATTCATCCTGAGTGAGGTAACCCAGACCCAGAAAGACAAACATGGTGTGTACTTACTAATAAGTGGATATTAGCTGTAAAGGATAAGCAAGCTACAATCCAAAGAACAAGAGAAGCTAGGTAACAAGGAGGCTCAAGGGGGACACTCAGATCTTCCTGAAAAGGGGAAACAGAAAAGATTTCATGGTGGACTGGGGGCAGGCAGGGATAGGAACATGAGGGATCAGGTGGGAGTGGGGTAGGGGAGAGTACTGAAAGAGTTTAATAGAAAGGGGGGTCATTCCAGGGTACAATGGAAACTCCCAGGAACATACAAGGGTGATCCCAGCTAGGACTCTTAGCAAAAGGGGATACACAGCCTAAACTGGCCACCTCCTGTGATCAGGCAAGACTGCCAATGGAAGGATTGGGACACCAACCCAGTCACATAACCTTTGACATATAGTCTGTCCTGCCTACGGGATTTGCAGGGATAAGGGTGACACAGAGGTTGTGGCAGTGTCTAATCAATGACTGGTCCAGCCTGAAACCCATGCCATGTGAGTGACACTGCCTGGAGAGCCAGGATCCAGAGGCTGGATGGCCCAGAGACCAGGAAAGAAGCAAACATGACTATAAAAAAAAGTCAATGTAATGATGCCTAATGATATTCTGCCATAGTCATGGATTGGTACCTAGCCCATTAGTCATCAGAAAGCCTTCATCCAGTAACTGATGGATACAGATGCAGAGACCCACAGTCAAACAGTAGGCTGAGTTCAGGGAATCCTGAAGAGAGGGAGGAAGGATTGTATAAGGCAGAGGAGTCAAGGACATTACAGGAAAACCCACAGAATCAACTAACCTGGGCTCATAGTAGCCCACAAAGACTGAACAACAACAGAGAGCTTGCATGGGACAGACCCTCTGCATGTAGGTGACAGTAGTGTAGCTTGGTCTTCTTGTGGGACTCCTAGTAGTGGGAGCAGGGGCTATCTCTGACTCGCATGGCTTTTGAAACCCTATTCCTCATACTGGGTCATCTTGCCCAGCCTTAATACAAGGTGAGGTACTTAGTCTTACTACAGTTTGATATGCCATGTTCTGTTGATATCTACGGGAAGTCTGCCCTTTTCCGAATAGAAATGGAGGAGTGGATGGTGGTAAAGGTAGAAGGGAGATGAGGGACTGGGAGGAGAGCAGTTGGAAAACTGTGGCCAGGATGTAAAAGACAGACAGACAGACAGACAGACAGAATGAACATACCTTGTTGTAGAATATTATTTTAAGATGTGTTACATTGGTTTATGCTATGAAACATTTGTTTAATGATGCAAAGATGTGTTGCATTCCTTTATGTTGTATTTGTTTAACTCTGTGAAGTTGTGATTTTTTTTTGCCTATCTAAAACACCTGATTGATCTCACAGCTAAGCGGCCAATAGCTGGACAAAGAAAGGACAGGTGGGGCTGGCAGGCAGAGAGAATAAATAGGAGAAAACGGAGGATCAAGAAGAAAGGAACGAGAAGAGAACAAGAAGAGGAGGATACTAGGGACCAGCCACCCATCCATCCATCCACTCAGACACCCAGACACTCAGCCAGAGAGTAAGATTGAAAGTAAGATACACAGAAGAAAAGGAAAATGCCCAGAGGCAACAGGTAGATGGAATAATTTAAGAAAAGCTCGCAAGAGGCCAAGATAAAAAACACTGATGACAACTTATGCTGGAGAGGATGTGGGGTGAAGGGAACACTCCTGCATTGCTGGTGGGAGTGCAAACTGGTGCAGCACCTTTGGATGTCAGTATTGTGATTTCTCAGAAAATTAGAAAACAATCTACCTCAAGACCCAACAATACCACTTTTGGGTATATACCCAAAGGATGTTCAATAATACCACAAGGACATGTGCTCAACTATGTTCATAGCAGCATTATTTGTCATAGCCAGAACCTGAAAACAACCTAAATGCCCCTCAACCAAAGAATGGATAAAGAAAATGTGGTACATTTACACAATGGAGTACTACACAGCAATAAAAAATGACACCATGAAATGTGCAGGCAAATGGATGGATCTAGAAAACATCATATTGAGTGAGGTAACCCAGACCCAGAAAGACAAATATAATATGTACTCATTCATATGTGGCTTGCAGACATAAAGCAAAGGAAAAAAACCAACCTACAGTTTAAAACCCCAGACAACCTAGACAACAAAGAGGACCCTAAGATCTACATGGATCTACATAGGAAGGAGAAAAAGACAAGATCTCCTGAGTAAATTGGGAATGTGTGGGTCCCAGGAGAGGGTAGAACAGGAAAAGGGAGTATGGGAGGGGATGGAGATAAATGTATAGCTCAATAAAAAACAAATTAAAAAGAAAAAAAGAAAAAAGTTGGCAAGAAACAAGCCAAACTAAGTCTAGGCATTTATAAGAAAAAATAAGACTCCTTGTGATTTATTTGTGTATTACATTGTCTACAAAAATATATATAGATGTCCACCTAACAACACAGAGAAAAAGGAGGAAGGTTCATTTCTACGAGGAAATTTACGGTCACTTTTCATACTTTCCACTGTACTCTAAATTTTTCAACAGTAGCCATAGATTACACAAAATGCTTTTGAAATTGGAAATTTTCTTTAAATATTCAGAAAATCAGATCCTTTTGCCAAGCTTACTGCACACCCGTGTGACATGAGTACAGACCCTGAGCACACTCACCTTCCGGCATCACAGTCTGTGTCATCCGGGACCCCGCATTGGGGGCAATGGTGTTACAGTGAATGTTGCTCTTCCTGCCTTCAATTGCCAGAGTGTTGCAGAGGCCCAGAATGCCCAGCTTTGCAGCACTATAATTTGCCTGGCCGAAGTTGCCATATATGCCAGAAGCTGAGGAAGTCATGATGATCCTAAAAGAAAGCAACCCCTCAGCATCATCTCTCCCGTGGTTTGCTAACACTGACACCCGACCTCATTCCTGATGCTGTGGAGTCTGTCAAAGGCAACTCTACAAACCATCCTTCACTTCTCATGGCTGTGATTCCTATAGTTACAGTACTGTTGATATAAATGTGATGGTTCAAAACTCAACTACAGGATTTAAGTGCATAGAAAGGATCTCTGGTGTGAGCCAAGTGAATTTAAATATAGCAATGTTTATATATTATCTATAAAAACCAAAAATATTTACAAATATAAATTAGCAACATTAAATTAAAATTTTAGCAAGAAATAATATACTTGTAATTCTCATCACTTGTCTGCTCAGTTTCTGAATAATTCTAAACGCCATCTTATAACCTAACCCACCCTCACTCAACTTAGAACATATAAAATAAATCACACCATTTACTTTCAGAACTGTCAAGATCATGATAAAAAGAGGTCTCAGAAAAATTTAGCATTAATACCAACTGCTCTTATAAGTGTCTGAAGGCTAAATTGCAGGGCTGAGCCTGACATCAGAGTAGACAGTACAAATGGACCCACATCGAGTTACACTTCACGGGAGTCCTGTTGCCAAGAGTTCACAAAGTCTAACCCATGGTGTGCTAGCACAGAAGAAATGGCAACTCATCTCTGTCTAACTGGTTAGTGGGCACAACAAATAACATTGTGGTTAAGAGCAAATCTTCAGTGTCTACACAGCTTTCTATTATTGTTGTGTGCAGTTTCCTACAAAACTAAACATCTTCCATCTTGAAAGGAAGCACATTAAGTCACACAATGATTACAGAGGTGAAATAACAGGATGTTCTGAGGAGAGGTAAAAAAAACATTCCATGCTGCCATGATGCTGGGAAGCTCATTAAGTAAACTACTCAACAACTTCAGGAAGTCCCTGAAACCAACAAGATTCACTAACCTTTCTCTCCCCAAGGGTATAGAAGTAGTAAAGACAGTTGCTAAAAGACACTCTCAACCTAGCTGAGCTGACTGGAAGAGGCTCAAATCTACTGAGACACCTGGAATGTCACTCCCCAACCTGTTGAATGTCCTGCAGGCTGTTCAGTGAGCTCCCGATATCCAGCTTTTGTGAGCCGTCACCATGCTAAGGTGTTATTTTGGTGACACAGTTGTCTTTGAGTCATTTATGCTCCTCTTAGTGGCCCATAACCCATACTTCTTATTTTGTTTTGTTTTGTTTTGCTGAGCTGAACTCTGGTGGTTTCTATACTTCTGGTCTATTGTTGGCTCTCTATCTGGGATGAATAGACATTGATTCACAATTCATATCCCCAAAAGTAATGTCACACAACAAAAGTGATAAAGGCTCATGGGAAATGTATTAAAACTAAAGAGCACATGGTAAAAGAAAAACACAGACCTAGTGAGTGTGCACTGTCCAGCACTTTAGAGCCTGCACGTATGTGAGAATACTTGCCCCAGGACCAGACAACTGTTTAAGAGCACTTGGTGCAAACACCTCCAGTCCTCTCTGGTGACTTCAGATAACTCTACCTTCCATATTTCTGTTTCTTCATATGATCCCACGCTGCCCGGGTCACTTGGAAGGAGCCCCGCAAATGAACTCTATGAATTATATCTAAAACGGAAATTATTTTCTATATATTTTGTCAAAAGTTAAGTATGCCTTAGAATGAGCTTATATAAACATATTAGACTTGTATATATTTACACAAACATATCATTTTATATCCAGCATTTATAGCCACCTACTGTCATATTCAGATAACCACTTTTGCTTTTGTCAAAATTATACAACCAATCAGTAATTCATACCCATACCTGTGAACTTTTCCTATAACTTATAAAATTATTGTAATCCTTGTATATATCTAAGCATAATGCTATTCATAATTAATGACCATTCAAGATAAAAATTTGTTACTATAACCTGCATGAGCAGGGAGACAGTTCAGTTGGTTTTTTTACATCTCTACCTGAATGTGTACCAGGCAACACAAACTTACCAAAGCAAATTCTGACTACCCACCCCTAAGTAAGCATGTGTAGGGGTTCAGCTCAGCTGGCAAAGTGTTGTCACATATGCACGAGACCCTGGGTGAGAGTCCCAGAAGTCATGGGAGAAGTTAGACATGGAGGTAAATGTGTGTAGTTCCAGTGGAGGGAGGCGAAGAAGGTCCTGGGCCTTCCTACCCCAGCCAGTCTAGCCTAACGATGTGCTCCAGACCAATGAAAGGCCCTGGCTCAAAGGAGGTAGGTGGCATTTCTGAAGATGATAATCCAGCATTGTCTCTGGCATATAAATGCCACAAATTCACATGAACTAATATATGTGCATTAAAAGCAAATATCTAAATAAATAATACCCATGAATTTTACATATATAACTTGTACAAGAAATAACAAAACATAGTTAGACCACACTGCTCATCATCGGGGAATATTTATAAAATACTCACTGTTATCTCTATTTTTGTCATGATTTTCAAATGAGTTAGAGGGGTCTACTTTCAATGACTTAAATCCAGTGAACCAACCATTTGGGAACACTTTAGAGAAACAACTCTAGATTGAGTGTTGTCTTGGTTTTGACCATTCTTACCTATTTGGGTTCACTCTGGAACCCCCAAAAATGTTTTTATACAAATATATATGAAAGGGAAGGTAAATACAAAACCAAGACTAGAAAAGGGGGTTACGGGTTGGGGGACTGAGTAGGGTGGAATCTCTTCAGTTAGACGGCAAAGGCCCACATGCTAGCCAATCTTCTCTTTCTCAGCTTTCCTTTCCAAACTGTCCCAAGGAAAAGGGACTAAAAGCTTTCCTTTGCTTAGTTCTGGGTCACAAGGATACCATCCATGCCTCTTCCAAAAGTTCAAGGGCCAGAAGCTGAACTCTAGCAATGATGGGATCACCCCAGCTTAGCTGCTAAGCCAGCCACTGTCCCAACACCGATTTGTTTACCTGTGATGGCTGATGAAAACTACCACAAACAGGAACAGAAGAAAAATAAACTACAAATGTGATTTCATCATTGTATCAACTCAACCTTGGCAACACGGGAAAGGAAAATGAAAAATATTTCCTATTTATTAGAAACTTCAGATAAGCGTGTAGGTTTTGTTCTACTCTCCTAACATCTTTGATTTTAATTTGTAGTGCCCTGGGCTCTTCTAAATCCTGCTCTACTCCCGGAGGGCAAGAGGACAACTATATAAAACATACAAAAAAAAAAAAAAGAAGTTGACAGCCTCTTAGGGAGAGAAAAGGAGAAACATCACAAGAAACAAAACTGTTTTCCGTAACTTCTGCAAATGACTTACCTAATTTTTAACAAATATTTAAAAATATGATACTTCTAACTATAAAAATCATTGTCAATAGACTAAATTCATTTATATTAACAGCAGCAAATGGCAAGTATTTCCTTAACTACATAAACACATTAAATATTAAAAAGACAATGTATAGTTCCGTTCCACAGAAGCATGAGAAACAGCTTACCCCAGTCTTCATCACTTATCCTGGAGAAGGAACGGTCCCTCAGGATTCTAAAATATTGATAATACGTATGGTCAGAGTAAAAGGGAAAATATACAGTGATGACTACAATGGTGTGTAAAATGAAGATTAAAAACTCACCCAGCATTGTTGACCACAATATCTACAACATAAGAAAGGTCAAAGTTACATAAACAAAAGCAATCATATTAATTTGCACCTGCTTACAACTCACATTTATTTTAAAAACTGATTTTTAAAGCCTACCCCCCCCCAAGAAAAACTAAACACAACAAGAATGCTGCCAAAACAAAATTTCATAGCGATAGCCAAAATGACTAACTGCAAACAACACCATCTTCATGTCGTACCTTCCTGTCAGGCATAAGTATCTATATTTCCTTTCTTCTACCCAAATCCTTTTCACTCAGAGGGCTGGCTACACCCTCCTGAGTTCTGAGGACTCAGAATCAATATAAGCCATCTTGCACTTAACTTCAAGCCCACTCAGAAAGGTTCTCTCCTTGCTCCTGAACAGAGAAAAGATCAAAAGTTCAGGAAGTCACTAAAGCAAGCATCAGGATTCAGGCCTGCAATCCAACCACTTGAGAGGTGAGGGCCAGAGGCTCTTGAGATGAAAGCCAGCCTCGACTACACAGCCAAGTCTGAGGATAGCCTGTACTACAAGAGACCTTGTCTCAAAAAAAAAAAAATCCACCCCCCCCCCAAAAAAAAGAGAAGAAAAGAAAAGAAAACCACTGAAGTCAGAAACTAATGCTCTATTTGATGTCTTCATAAGTTCACTATCCAAAGCAAGGAAAGCTTTTGCAGATTCAACCACTGGAATCCTTGGCTGTCCCCATCCTCTGCCTTCACACTCTGCGGTTTCTGTACCTGTCAAATAGCACCTGACCATGGCTCTTATGATCTGACCTAACCAAACTAGAACAAGAAGTGTGTTAAACTCAACAAGGGAGGGGCACACTCAAGTGACAAAAGGAAGTGTCGTCCAGACTGAAAACACAGTTTCCTTTCCCTTTAGCGATCCATTCATTTTAGTGAGAATGTGGGGGCTAAACCAGGAGGAGGTTCCAGAAAGAGAGGAAGGACCAACAGTACACTTCTAAAATGAAGAGCCTGATTGTGCTGGGTAGTTTTATGTCAACTTGACACAAACTAAATCTGAGAGATGGAAGCCTCAATTAAGAAAATGCCTCCCCATGAGTGGTGGTGGCGCACACCTTTAATCCCAGCACTCAGGAGGCAGCGGCAGGTGGATCTCTATGAGCTCAAGGCCAGCCTGGTCTACAAGAGCTAGTTCCAGAACAGAGTCCAAAGCTACAGAGAAACCCTGTCTCGAGAAACCAAAAAGAAAGGAAGGAAGGAAGGAAGGAAGGAGGGAGGGAGGGAGGGAGGGGGAGAGAGAGAGAGAGAGAGAGAGAGAAAGAAAGCAAATGCCTCCCAAGATCTGGCTATAGGCAAGCCTGTGGGGCATTTCCTCAATTAGTGATTGATGGCCCACTGTAGGTGGTGCCATCCCTGGGCCTGGGTTCTATAAGAAAAGAGGCTAAGCAAGCCATGGGGAGCAAGTGAATAAGTAGAGTTCCTCCATGGCTGCAGCATCCGCTCCTGCCTCCAGGTTCCTGACCTGTTTGAGTTCCTGTCCTGACTTCCGTCGATGATGGCTGGTGATATGGAAGTGTAAGCCACATAAATCCTTTCCTCTCCAACTTGCTCTTTGTTCACAGTGTTCATCACAGTAATAGAAACCCTAAGACACACACACACACACACACACATATATATATATTTCTTCTAAATTTATATGCTATCAAATCTTACAAACATAATTATTAAAATGAATGCACCAGGTCCATTACTGCCAAAATACTGATTTATCTCAAAAAAAGTATTTAAGACTTAATTGAATTATGATTAAAAAGGGCAAAGATTTTATGCTCATAAAACTTTTTAATCATTTAAGGTGCAAAAAATAAAAAAGCTAAACATATATATATATATATGTTATTATATACCTCACCTATTATGAAATAAAACAGGTTAAATAAAATATTTGAATTATAAGACAAACCCAAAAATGTAATTAGCAAGAGAGATTTGTTTGTTAAAGAAATGTCAATTCAAAAATATTGTATTGGGAAGCTAGGAAATGCTTTATAAGGCCATGTACCAGCTAGCTTTCATTGTCAATTCACCCACCCTATAAGCACCTGGAAGAAAGTTTCACTGAAAGATTGTCTACATTGAGTTCGCCTATGGGCAAGTCTGTGAAAGACTATCTAATTAAACTAATTGAAATGTGAAGACCTGGCCCACTACAGGTGGCACCATTCCTTAGGCAGAGTTTTCTGAACTGTGCATGGGAAATCGAGCTCAGCCCAAGCAAGCAAGGAGCATGCACGCACTCACTTCCCCTCTGCCAACCACTGCCGCCATGCCTGGTATTTAAGCCCTGTCATGACTTCTCACAATGATGGGCTGTAGCCAAGGCCTACAAGTCAAAATAAATCCCTTTCTCCCCTAAGTTGTTTTTCCTGGCAGTTTTTAACCATCACAACAGAAATGGAACTTATAGAAACCACACAAGCCAGGAAAGCTCACCTATTCTGCCAAAAGCATCCAGTGCTGTCTTCACGAGCTTCTCTCCTTCTTCAACCGAATCTGAGAAGAACAACGAGGACAAAACATCAATAGTTTTCCCACAAATCACTTTCTGTGGCTCAGGGCACACGGCTGATACTATCACCAAAAAGAAGTAAACTCAAAAAAGGCACAAGCAATCAACAGAGTCTAATATTACCAAAGAAATGTTTATGCCAGATAGATAGTTCATTAACCAGCAAAATCAGGGTAGACTGGATGAATAAAAGATTCTTGCAAGAACTATAGCAATACTGCCCAATAAGACTGCTTATGGAAAAGGGGGGGCAGCTGACCCAGCAAAGGCTGCTCACCACTTAGCACAGTAGACTGAGAAGCTTTTAAAAGAGTGCTAAGAACCGGGCGGAGGTGGCGCACGCCTTTAATCCCAGCACTTGGGAGGCAGAGGCAGGTGGATCTCTGTGAGTTCGAGACCAGCCTGGTCTACAAGAGCTAGTTCCAGGACAGGCTCCAAAACCACAGAGAAACCCTGTCTCGAAAAACCAAAATAAAATAAAATAAAAGAGTGCTAAGAAGAATAAAAGATGATGCGGTGGAGATACGCGAGATCTTTAGTTTAAACCAACCTGTAAGAACACAGCAATCTAAGTACCACAACCATTGATGAAATTACCTACATTAAAAGTTTAGAGATTTCTCACATATGATATAAAGTATGTTCTCAAAAGGCTTGGTAGATAGATAGACTCTAATTTCACCGTTACAGTGTAATGCTGAGTTACATCTCAGAGATGACTAGCGTGAGCAGTGTTCATCAGCAGAAGGAAAGCTGAGAGTAACGCTTGTCACATACCGTTGCTGGCACAGTCTATGCCTGTCACATACCGTAACTAGCCACTGCCTTCCCACCTCTCCTTCTTATTTCTTCCACGACTTTGTCTGCAGCTGAGGAGCCTTTACCAACTCCCTTGAAGTCTCCTCCTAAGTCATTCACTGCAATGCAAAAACAAGCAAACAGTTCATTTTTCACATCTTCCAAGTACATTAGATATAAAATCCAAATTATCAGTGCATCTCTTCAATCATCTGCCCACGTCCCCAGCTACATCATCACCAGTCTTACCAAGTACAAGGTAAATGTGTGTGATTAAAAGAGGCCTCTTGGCTGGGACGCAGCTGTGCTGTGCGGTGCTCACCTCACGTGGGCAAGCCCAGATTCATCTCCAGCACCAAGAAAACAAAGTTTGCAACACAAAGATGAACAGCAAATATTTAAACCCGGGCTCTGATCATGAATTCTTTACTTTCACTATGCTTTTCCTCTTTGGAATGGAAAGAGATATGACAACCCCTTTTGAAAAAATAAAAAGGGGGGGGGGATGAGTGAGGGAGGGGTGCGAAAAAAATCACTTCAGGAGTAAATATACAAGAAAACAATGCAGAGGTTTCGAGAAGCTTTAGAACAAAGAAAGAAGTGGGCCTTGGAGTTTCTGACTTCCTGAAAGTTAAGTGAATAACAGAAGTTTTAGCCTAAGTACTTATCCAGGCCAAAGTAACCGAGTACTAGGGACAGATGACAAACTCAACTACACAGAATTAAACATAACATGCAAGCACTAATGATACGTACAGATCAATGCCAAGTAACCTAGAAAAGCAGAATTTAAGAGAAATATTTGGAGCATTTGGAGTAGATGGCTCCTGGAAGGGGGCTGTGGGGAAGGACTTGGTTTTCTTTAAGGGGCTGGCCACTGGGAGTCTGGCCATGCTCCATGGGGTATAGGGCCAATACAAACTGGCCCTCCTCCTCTTCTTCTTCTGGGAAAGGAGGTCACAAGGGAGGGTGGGAGGTCTGACCTGGGAGGGCTTGGGAAGTGAGTGTGATCAGGGTGCATGATGTGAAATTCCCAAATCATCAATAAAATACGATGTTTGCTGGGGGAAGAAAAGTATTTGTGGTGAAGACTGCATTGTGAATGTCATTCCTTTATGGCTGTCACATGATTTCAGCATAATCTAATAAAGTACTAATCACAATGGTGAGAGGTTACATACTACAATTATGTTTTCCAATATTGATGAGGGTTTTTTTCTGAAGGAAAACATCCTTTTTAACTGAAGTGAGGTGATAAACGAAGGAGAGAGGAAAAAAAAGCAAACACCTTGCACACTAAAAACTGCCACAAGAAATATGTTTTCAGTTCTTTTTTTCTTTTTTAAAAAAATGAGTTTTCCAAATTTAGGCAGGGATGTTTTCCTAATCTAGTAATATTATCAATCTTGTTGAAAATGAAAACTCTCTGTAAATACACAAATAATAAACAAGTTTACACTACCCTCGAGACATGGAAAGAGGGATGATTATTCAAAATCTGAATTCTATTAATTGTTCATTTCCATGCAATTATTTAAATGACAGAAAACAACTACTTAAAAACTATCAAAACTTAGAGACAGGCAAGAGTTTTGATGACTCTTTTTAAATTAATTTTACATTTTTAATTAAAATATAATTACATTACTTCCCCTTCCCTTTCTTCCTTCTTTAAAAAATAAAATAAAATATCAGAAGAACTTCTAAGACCAAATTGACAAATACAGCATTTCAGTGTAATGAAACACTGCCCCCAAGTGGAGAAGTTAGAAAGTGCAATCAGACACAAACACTGAAGGCTGGATAATGCAGAGAAAAAGGACACTTTGCTAAAAGTACTGGAACAGTTAGTTACTCAATAGATCGCCACATTAGAAAACTAAACTATCAAATTCGCTCCGTTACCAGGTCTCAATCCTGCGACCTAGAAACACCCTATTCAAGTGCTGAATGGCTGGGAAAGCAATAATTTACAAGTTTATTTGTAATCAAATATGAAAAGCATTGTCGGTACCGATGCTATGTAGCAAGGCTGCCACTCCAATGCATGGTCAAAGTTCCAGATGCAATAGTAACACACCAAGCAGTTTATATTTATGTAGGTCTCCCATCCTTTAACAGTTATAAACTGAGGCATTTAAGGTTCACAGTTCTTTAAAACTTCACAATAATAACTTCTCCTGTGTTCAGTGATTAAAACAGTTTACACCTTAATTCAGACTAGTATAAGCAAATGTTAGTCTAGAACCAGAACTTCTTATTGTGCTCCTCAGTCACTCCCAGGTTACTTGACCTTAAAAAGAAGAATCATTTCTACTGAGAAAATCAAGCACGTTCACTTGAGGAAGACACAGAAAAAGGCTAAAACAGCCACTCCCCTCAGGTCAATGGCCTGCGCGGGTAGATCATGATAGCGGAGGATAGCATTCTCAGCTGAATCAACAACAAGTTTCTACAGTGTGATATATTTGTCAGTTCTCCCTTTAAAAGTCCCTTTCAGGAGCCTGGGTCCCAGCATGCGCATGTAATCCTTGCACACAGGAAACAGGAAAGAGGACCAACAGCTTCAGAGACATCCTTCGCTACGCAGTTAATTCTAAACTAGCCTGGCTATGGCAGATCCTAGCTATATAAAAAAAAAAAAACCCAGCTCACACCCCGGAAGGTCTCTAGCTGGGCAGTCTACTAAGGACTGTTTTGTTCTATTTGGTTAGGTTGGGGGTTGGTGCTCCTAAAAATCTGCTCTCAAGAGTTTCAGTATATAATGGCTGTATGGGAAATTCACAGATCCAGGGAATTCTAAAATACACATGGACAACACCTCACATACATACACACTCACACAATCACACACATATACTCACACACACACTCACACAATCACATACACATACACACACTCACACAATCACACACACATACACACACTCACACAATCACATACACATACACACACTCACACAATCACACACACATACACACTCACACAATCACACACACATACATACACTCACACAATCACATACACACACTCACACACACACAATCACATACATACACACACATACATACACACACATAATCACATACACATACATACACTCACACAATCACACACATATACTCACACACTCACACAATCACATACACATACACACACTCACACAATCACACACATACATACACTCACACAATCACACACACATACATACACTCACACAATCACACACACATACTCACAGACTCACACAATCACATACACATACATACACTCACACAATCACATACACACACTCACACAATCACATACACACACTCACACAGTATTCCACAATTAGCTTCACAGGTAAATAAACTAAAAGAGCCAAATCATCCAGCTGTAGCCATCTGAGAGCTGCACACAGAGAACTCCCACTTCCCACAGTTGCCCGTGCCGTGGCTGTGGCTCTGAAGAACTCATAAGCGCCAGCCACTGCTCTAACTCACGTTTCTCTGAGCACTGCTGACCTCACGCTTCATTCTCAGGTCCTTCACCGCTTCGCCTGCTTAGTTCACCACACTTTGTTTGGAATATGTTTCTCAGATACATTTTTTCTTTTTCTTTTTCTTTTTTCTTTTTGTTTCAATACAGGGTTTCTCTGGCTGATTAGGCTAGCTGACCACTGGGCTTTCAAAGGGCTGAAATTACGGCTACTTGGGCCATGACATCCAGCATTTTCTTCTGTCGTGACTTCTGGGAATCTAACTGAGGTCCTCAGGCTTACACAGCAAGCATTTTTACCAGCTTTGCCATCTCTCCAGAACCTGCTCACCTTTAATCTGCATAAACCATGCAAACCAAACAGACTCACTTCCCTCAGGGCCCCTTTTCCACCTCACTAAAACTTCCAACATTCTTCCTCAACCTCTCCCTCTTCAGAAAAGCACAGACCCTGGCCTTCAATTTCCTCAGGACTCTTAGTTCCCAATTTAGGTCCAGGGCTCGACCAGGGGCTTCGCACTCTAACCCTTGGGTCTGCAGTGAACTGCCGGGTGTGCTGAGAAGTCCCTATGTCCCTTTCCTTCCTTCTACATCACTCCATGCCTAGCTCGCTGCAGCTGTCCCTAGGTGGTTGCCATCTTAAGACCTTTGCTGCTGCAGTCAGCTTCCCAAGGCAGCTGTCATGGTGTCTCAGCACCTTGCTCAAATCTGTTCTAGTTTCCTGCCATTCGGTAGTCAACGCTGAAGCCGCCATGTAATCTAGGCTCACTTCAGCTCTTTCACTAACCACAGGCTCTTCCCACGATAGTTTATATATAGTTTACATAGCAATTTCTTCTAACTCTCCACCCAACGACCAAGAGTGATACTTGTTTAATTTGAAGGGCACTGCATGTGTACGCATGCTCACACTCATATAACATTCCAAGGACCTGTCTCCGAGTCATATCCAGTTCCTGACGATGGAGATGAATGAGTGAAGGAGATTATTACCAAGCCTGGCAACCTAGGCTCATCCCCTGGACTCTCATGGGGGAAGGAAAGAACTGACTGCTACAAGCTGTCCTCTGAATGTTACATAATGTTACATGTACATTATGGCATGCACACCCCATCCTCCATGCCCACACATACACCAATAATAATAATATAATTTGAAATTTTGTTTTAGAAAGAATTACTTTGGGGCTGGGGATATAGCTCAATGGAAAAGCACTTCCCCAGCATGCATAAATTCTAAATTCAATCCCCAGCACGAGGAGAAAGGTCATTTCATCCCGCTGAGGATGGAGGTCAGAAGGAAACAGAACATGTGCATGCAGCAGGCACAGAGCCTCAAATATAATCCCTAGCATCGCCCACATCCCAAAAGAGGCATTTCATTAACTTTACAATAGCTTGGTTCCAATGGATTTTTTAACCAGTTTATATTTATGCACTGATAACTACCAAAAAGAATTTCTAAACATATGTTATTTGGGGATCACAAAGGTGTCAAGGAACTCATATGAAGGCTGAAAGGAAAGAGCTTTCCTTCCACTACATAGGTCCGGGGGGGGGGGGGGGGGAGAGCACTCAGTCACCAGGCTTCTCTGTCAGGGTCATAACCTGCTGAGCAATCCCACTGGCCTCCAAAAG